AGAATAATATTATATTATAGACCAAAAATACGTATTTTTCCCAAAAACATTATACCAGTGTGATATTATTCAACAATTGTCACGGCCAATGACAAAATAATAAGATTAAGAAAAAGGTATTTTTCCTTGAAATTTGGATTAGTTTCTTATTCTTCAGCGTATTCTGTGATAGATTTTTCATTTCTTAAATGCGAGCACGGGGTGAACAAGTCAAGGAACTGCGTTTGACCCCAATAACAAACCTGAGGTAACATTAACAATATATATATTGTGGTAGTAATGCTGGTTGCAGCAGCAGTAGTTATTACGACGGCTGTTCTTATATACCTCTTCATGCATGCATAATGCCATTATATGTATCTGGTGAGTAAGGGCTAGAATGAAATTTACTTATTTTCTCTTTCTTGCTAAGCGTGAATATATGTGTTTATAATTAGTTTATACATAAAAATCAATCACAAAAATATGAAATAAATTAACCAGGTATCCATCAGAAAGAAATAATTTGACGACGTAGTTGAACAAGAATCTTGTTAATTACACAACCATGGGATGTTGTTATATTTAATTTAGCTAGTCGTCTGAGGAAAGGTGCGGCGATGCCGTTCTCTCTTTCTCCCCCCCCCCCGGGGGTATCTCTGTGTGATTAATTAATTATGCCGTCTCTCTCTTCTTTGGAAGTTCATTACGTTGATGTGTTCGATGAAAGAATCCAATTCCCTTCCCATGTCATCGTATATTTTCATTGGTGATTATTCCTTGCGCTTCATTCTGGGTTGTTCGTCGATGAATTTATTCTCCTGCCCGTACTGTCTCGCTTCGAGTTCAATCAATTAATTTTTTAACTTTAGGAACTTTGATCAGTTGCAGGAAAAATCATTTAATCAGGAAGTTTACCCTTCTTCATCCCTAAGGGTCTGTTTGGCTCAATGAAAAGAAGGAGAGAGGAAGAAAGTGGAAGGATTTTAATATTATCTTGTTTGGATTTATAAAAAGGGAGGGAGAGGGGGAGTTTTAATATTACCTTATTTGGTTTATGAGGAGACGGGAGGAGAAAATATTTTAAGATGGATAATTTTGCCTTTATTTTATTTAAGATATGGGCATAATGATCACAACATTGTAAAATATGGGTATAATGATTATAACATGACAAAATATTACTTTTTTTCTCCAAATCCTCCCAATTTTCGAGAGGAGGGGAGGGGGGAAAAAGTTTTAAAATTTTTCCTCCCTTCCTAAAATTTATGTGTTACTAAACAAGAGTAAGTGATTAAAATCCTTCCTCCTCTCTCCTTTCCCTTATAAATCCCTCATAGCAAACACATTGTAAAAGTATTCTGAGACACACGCATGCACGAGATCTATTCATGGACAACTTAAAATATTTTAACTGATCACAACCCTTTCGAGCGCATAAATTTCGAAGATGCTTCCTTTTAGAGTCAGAAGGCAGAGAATGATGGATGATCTATCATGATCATAAAAAATACTATAACATTTTCTTTGAAGATAAATCCAAGTAATATAATGCATGCTCTCCCTTTTTCTTTTTTTTTTCTTGGCGGAAAATTGATGCTGTGGGTTGGTGATGATTCTGTGAGAATGCATGGGTCAAATGTCACATAGAGACCATTTGGTTGGACTGGTGAATAAGCACTTTGGCGCACCCACAGAGAACCCAAATTTACTTACAGCCGCTAATATGAGAGTTCAAGTCAAGCATATAATAATTCTCTCTGTGCCGACCAAGTGGCCTGAACTCACAGTATCGTCTGGACCGGTACTACTACCTATTCTAATATAAATGCTAGTTTGACCACTAACTCCAATTCCTAATATAAAAATTAGTTGACTAATTTAAATAAATTAAAAAAATTAGTTTAGTTAGTTATTTGTAATAAATAGGTGGTATCTTTTCTAAAATATCCTTATTAATCAAGTCTATCGACTAGAATTATCATTGTTGCAAGAACTACCTTAAAAAAAAATAAATAAATATGAGAGACAGAGTAGATTAGGGTCTTATATTTATGACCAAAATATAAATATTAATTTGTTATGTCATGAGAGATCAACCTATTCTATTTGGTCTAATTCCTGTTGGTGCCAATTAGATATTTAGATGTGTGGCTCTCGCCTCTCTCAATCCGGGCTTGTTGGGCCGTCTTAGTTGCATTAGCCCAGTCCATACCTCTGCTGCTCCCTCGCTTTGCACGCCTCTGCTTATTATTGGATTTCATTTAAAGTTGGAAACTAACCAGGAGTTTAGAATGTGGAGTATCTTTATTCTTTATGCATTTATTAGTATCAGTTCTTTGTTTCTTTTTTAATGGAGAACAATATGAATTATTTTAACTAATACTCTTCCGGTCCTTAATATAGGACATAATTATTAAGTTAACTTTAATTCTAATTATAAGACCTATTTTTCATATTTATCAATATTTTCTAAATTACCCATATGGATACTCCCTCAACCATAATCAAGTAAGTGAATGAATGAAGATATTAAAAAAGATGGTTATGGTATTTTAGGAAAAACATGTCATATTTCTTATAATTAACTAACTTATTTATCTTTTTTAATCTAATCAAATTAATTAAATAGGTCTTATATCAAAGATCGAAGAAGTATAACAAGTGCTATTGTATAATTTGAAAATGGTATGTGGAGATTAAAAAAAAAAAAAGTAGTGAGCATGGAAATAGATGGAGTTGACTTTGGCAGCCGCATGTAAAACAATACAAGAAGCATAGGATAGCAGAACCCACCAGAGAAAGGCCAAGCTCCTTTTTTTTTTTTTTTTCATTTTTGCATCCAATATCCATTACCATGACTAATCTAGTAATCTGAACTGGGTTGTAGTAAATCTTTCTTAAAAAATATTCCTTTTCAAAATCTGAATCCTTGATATTGTGCAAAAAATCCTTTTGGGGTGCAAGTTCCCTTTTTTTTTTTTTTGGCCAAGGACAACATGCTGGCACGTACGATGCAGGCAGTTAGAATTCACCTCCTATTGGTCGTCCGTGTTCAAGTATGCATACTTCCGGAAGTCATTTCTGCAGACTGCAGTGTCCGAAATGGCAAGTCAGCGACTCCACATGAAGATTCTTGCAGCTCCCTGTGTATCCCCTACAAATAGAAGCTACCCCCTCGCAACTTCCCCCACGTTCTCCCTTTATACCACTTTGGCTTGTTTTACAATCAATCGTTACGCCTAATTTTAACTAAGTTTTTATCTTTTTAAAATTCAATTCTAATATAATAAAATAAAAAATTGGAGAATAGTGTCCAGTTGAAAATTTTATTAATAAGAAAGATTTAGTAAATTTTTATACACAAAAAGTAATAATACTTTGTAAATTTATTACACAGATTACAAGTAGGAAAAATCACAAACCGTTTTTTTTTTTCCGTTGCAAATTTCCCTTAGAAGTACTTTCTGATCTACTTCATTACCACAAATAAAATTTTCACCAAGGACTTCTTCTCAACTTTTTTTTCGTTTAACTTTTCTATTACTTCCGATCATAAATATAAAAAATAGTTGATTAATTTGAGTAGATTAAAGAAATAAGTTAAGTTAGTTATTTGTAATAAATAAGTGTAATCTGTCTTAAAATATCATTGCTAATTAAGTGTATTGGTTAGAACTACCATTATTACAAAGACTATCTTGAAAAAAAAATATAAATATAAAAAATAAAATAAATTAGTATCTTATATTTAAGATTAAAATTAAAATTAAATGAGGTCTTACATTAAAGATCGGAAGCAATAACTTATTAGTAATATTTAGAGTCCATTGTGTGAAGAGACATAGGCCTGTAGGACATGGATTATTAGCCCAAAATGCAGAAAGTACAATCCAAGAGGACCGACGAACAGAAGGAGGCGTCTTAATATTGGCCCTCCCCCGAAGTTCTGCATATTTATTATTTGTTCTTATCTGCGAGCAGCCATTGAATAGTTTCATTTCATATTTTCATGACAACTTGCCTTGTTATAGTACTTATTAGAATCAAGATTCCCACCATGAATTTTTTTTTAAAGGACAACTTCCTGGTGATAATGACGCATTATTTCCACCCGTTAACTGAAGACGTAATATTTTGCTCAAAAAAAAAGAAGAAGATGTAATATGGAGTACAAAGTACATTGTTTTTTGTCTAAAAAAAAAAAGAATAATTATATGAATTAGTCAGTACCTAGTTAGACTACTGGGAGCACGTTGTCCTTGCGTAGAGGTTACTGCCTTATTTGTGAGGCATGTATTAGGATCTATATTCTCCCTTGCAAATGTAATTAGTAAACCAATGTTAATATAATTGGTTCTCTTGCTGAACCGACAGGATTTAAGTCCAACGAAATTAGTTAGTCTTCTGTAAGATGGTGAATCAAGATTTAAATTTTTATTGAATTACCTCCAATAAGAAAGATATCTATACTTTAATTGAAAAAAAAAATCTCTCGCTGAAGGAATAGCAAATTCAAATGTACCGCCCAAATCTCTTGCCTTTTTTTTTTTTCTTTTAAACTGAAATATGGAAATATCAATAACTCGCAAAGAAAGGTACAAAGACAGATACTTGCAGCATGTCAAACCGGAAAACATGAAGCAAAAGACAAAAGAGAAAGAAGAAAAAATCCTTATACATGTGCATGGTACTAAAGTCTTTTCCAGTCTGATCAATAACCATATTATATTTAAAATAAATAATGAAAATATAAATTTTATTACTTAGATAAAGTCCACAGCACAATTTTACTGCGAGGCACAAAATAACTTGAGATGCCCGAACGCACTAAAAAGGCAACGGGTAGCTTTGTCATTTTGTGTTTCGACCCTTGACAGAGTTTATTTTCCCCCCGAGGTTAATCAATAATATCCCGATGAAAGTATATGTTGGTCTTCCCCCAGAAAATATTGGAAGTTAATTTTTCCCTGGGAAATTAATCTGAAACTAATTTAGGCAAACATCTAAAAAGGCAGGCATCTCTGAATTGTAATACGAATTGATACAGGGACGAATCCATATCCATGTCCCTCACTTCTCCAGCCACATTGTCTTAGACGAAAACCAGCCAACATGTGTTACTTCGATTTTCTATCACTCGCCCCCTACAACACTTCCTTTTTTTCACTTCTCTTCTTCACCTAAGCTTTCATCTTTCTTGCATGCTTTAACAACGCCTCCTGCACACCCATTATCTGCTTAAACTTTTCTTCTTACAACTTGTTGGCAGGGTACTGCCCATTATTCTTTTGAGTGTATGGTAAGCGTCATTCTATTTGTTATAAATGTTTCTTTTCTGTTTCTCTGTTTCGTGTTCTCTTTTTCCTGTAAATTCTTGAAAACTCTCCATCAAATCCTTCTTTTTTGAAGCAGATAGGTTTCCAAGTCTTGATTCGATTAAGTTATTGTGACTGATGGGTCCTGTAAGAGGATTGAAAAAAAGAAAAAAGACTGAGAAGAAGTACGACGAGAATAGTTCTGCTTCTGATTTGCCGGCGAAAGAGGGCCCGTTAGATTGGTGGATTGAGTTCTCAAAGAGGATTAGTGGTAATTTTCTTTTGACTTCTGATGCTTTTACACTATCCAATTCTCTTGATGATATTGCTTTTGGTGATTAATCTCGGCATGACTGGTGCGTTCCTATCCGTCTCTATTCTATAGAATTTTGGTGTTGCTTGCTTTTTAACTGAAGTTCACGCTTAGTTACGCAAATACATTTTGGTATAGAAGTCCAAGATCCCTAATTTGACTTGAAAGTTGCCTCTCATTCTGATTGTGTTATCTTATCTCCGAAGGAAAGTTTAATCACATTATATAATTGCTTTATGATGAAACCTATATCGGTTCGTCTATGATATAGTACATTATTGGATTGTACGAAGATATTATGGAGAATGGTACTTTCTTCTTGGTACGGGGTGGATACTACAGCGTCTCTGCAATTTCTGTTTCACGTGAGAGAAGTTAATACTTGCCTTATTATTTCCTGAGGTTGTCCTCAGTTAAACAATTTTTCAGTGCAAGAATTGAACAAATTTCAGTCACCATGGATCCTATTGCCTCCAAATTTTGACTTCCATAAAGAAAATGTTTTTACTGGTGTTGTGCAATACATAATACACGATTTTCAGTGGACTTGTTTGTCGCAGTCCTACTTTCCATCCATTATAGTTCATGCTTGCAGAATGGGAAACTGAAACAAGTTAGTTGATACCATACCTTTGTGCTAATTTCTAAATTCTCAAGGGATTTGATGGACTTGATGTCTTAACTTGAAAATTTAAAATCAGTGCCTTGCATCTCAGAGTTTCTTAACGTAGAATTGAAATATTTCTCTTTTCGACCCAAGTAGGACAGAAATTTTGAGTAAGACGATCGGAATAACTGCATAGATGAACTATTATAATAATAGAAGAAGGGAAACCAAAGGACTGAAATGAGGATGTGGCTTTGGGGAAGAATAACAGATTAAACGAAGGGGCAGGTGTGCTCACTAGACTTTTTGTGCAAGGTTCTCTTTCTATGAAGATTTCCTTTTTTCCTAGGTACTTGAGGATAGAGCAGGCTGCAGCCAAGTCATGAAATGCATAGCTAAGCTTAATAGGGACTATTTATATTAGAAGAGAAAGTTGCACTCATGCTATCAATCGGTTTTTCAAAACTGAGTATGAGGGTGACTGATCATATCATTCCAGATCATGCTGGTCATAGAACAAGTGTAAACAATATCTTATTTTCAGTTTTTGGGCAGCAAAGTGATGAATTTTTTTTCCTTCTGTTCTTGGTATGATTGGCTAGTCTCAAATTGTTATGGTTGGTTTATACATGTGATATTTAGCAAACTGCTTAGTTTTACACACGCTCTTATTTAGTTTCATGACAGTAAACTTAAACTTTCAGTGCTTGGTTTATTTTTTGAAGCAGCTGCCTCTGTAATTTTCATTTGGCGTTGTTTTGTGTTTATACTATGCTTGTTTATTTTTTCAAATCTGTTCTGTTTACAAGTTTCTGGTGTGATTCTCTTTGATGATCTATACTTGTTCATTCTATTTTTATTTTGAAACTGTTTATTTTGGTTATGTATAACCACCCTGTAGGATTATATCGAATGCTTTCTTTAATTTGTCAGGCCTCATGTCCTTAGAACGGCATAAATTCATTTTAATATCTGCTGTTTGAGGAGGTCATAACCAGCATTCAATTTTCAGAAATTACCTCCTTCTTCCTTTTTTTTTTTTTTTTTTGGTTCTACAATTTTTAAGTCAACTTTATGGCCCATTTCAGGCAACTTTTTACTCAGATGTTTAAATTCTGGTTGGCATCATATTCTTTGTAAATACTCAATGATTGCTTACCATGACAATTGCAAATTAAGATTGAAGAAATTTTAAGGTATGCCAGTTTTCAAGTAATTTTTTTTTTCCTTATTGAGGGTTATAGGCCTCAGACCATGAAAAGTTATTTACTGTTGAACTGAAAGATACAAAAGGCTTAATGCATATTTGACAGTTTATAGATAATTAGGTGATGACAAAGCAATTTCACGTTGAAATTCCAGCAAGGAGTTGTATCTTTAGGACTATTTGTTTATGTACCCCAACATAGGACAACCAAGGGCGAAAGAAAAAAAAAAAAAAAAAAACTAACTGCCGATTTTTCAGATTAGAAGAGGAAAAGGAAGAATAACCGATTCCCTAATGTTCAACAATCAAAAGCTATGCTCTAACTGATATTAAATCTCTTAAATTTTTTGGTGTCTTGAGCTGTGTGATCCTAGTCTTTTTCTTTTCTTTTCTTTTTAGCTGGAATATCCTAGTCATATTATTATGCTCTTGGTTTAAATGATACTATTCCTAGTCCTTAATATAAGAGCTAGTTGACTAACTTGTATAGATTAAAGAAATTAATTTAGTTGTTTGTGATAAATAGATGCTGTCTTTTCTAAAATATTCTTGTTAATCAAGTGTCATTTGATGAAATATTTAATATGTGCAACTACTATAAGGACTATCTTGAAAAAAATGGATAAATATGAGAGGCAAAGTAGATTAAACTCTTATATTTAAGGCCAAATAAAAAGTCAAACAAGCTCTTATATTAAGAATTGATAGTATTTAGACTACTCAGATATTTTGGTGGTAGCAGTGCTCAAGGTACACTTAGCTGATAGCAACAAAACATGGGGTACAATTACAATGCTGCTGGATAATTTTAATAAAAAATAGGTTGTCTCACAGCTAGCCTCGAATCACCTTCTATGTTTTATTACTTCAATATCATTATACTGCCTATTTGTAACTTAGGCACATTCTTGTTTTACTCTTTAAATACTCTGGTTGTTATTCTTGTTCAGTTATTATTGTGTGATTCAGTTTCCGACATTTCTTGCTGGGAAATCACAATTTTGTTACACTACTGTCTCTCCTTTGCAAAATTTGTGAGCCTAGGTATTCCCTAGTTCCATTGCATGTCAAAAGGTAGTTCATGTCTGAATATGAGTTGAATGGCTGCATCATTAATTACATTTTATTTGCCTGGATGTGTTTGTCTTGGCATTATCAAATGATCTTCAACTCTTTCACAAATAAATTGAAGGCTTGTAATTTTTCTCACAAAATATGAGATCTCGTTAAGAAGGAGATTTACTGCAACAATAGTTTTTCTCAACAAGAAAGATGATAAAAAAAAATATATTGAAAATTACATCTGCATTATCCAAATTTGAATTTTGTAACTTCTGTTTCTTAGCAGATCTTCATCAGTCTCCACCAAAGGAGTTGGATAACTTTGAATCTACTTTTAAGATCTCCAGAAAGACTTTTGAGTACATATGTTCACTGGTGAAGGATGATATGATGGCAAAATCTGCGCATTTTGTCTTTTCTAACGGCAAGCCAATGTCTTTATATGATCAAGTAGCCGTAGCATTAAGGCGACTAGGATCTGGGGAGTCACTAGTCACCATTGGTGATTCATTTGGGCTGAATCACTCAACTGTTTCACAAGTTACTTGGCGATTTGTTGAATCTATGGAAGAAAGGGGTCTTCACCATCTGCAATGGCCTTCTACAGAAGCAGAAATTATATCAATCAAATCCAAATTTCAGAAAGTACGAGGCCTCCCCAATTGCTGTGGTGTAATTGATGCTACTCACATCATGATGTGTTTGCCTGCCTCAGAGCCTGCTAGTAATGTGTGGCTGGATCACAAGAAGAATCACAGCATGGTGTTGCAGGCAATAGTAGATCCTGACATGAGGTTCAGGGACATCGTCACTGGCTGGCCAGGCAGAATGAAGGATTCGTTGGTTTTTGAGAGTTCCAATTTCTACAAACTTTGTAACAAAGGAGAGAGGTTGAATGGGAAGAAGCTGCTGCTTCCTGAAGGATCAGAAATAAGGGAATACATAATTGGGGATTCTGGCTACCCTCTACTGCCATACCTGGTAGTCCCGTATGAAGGCAAAGAACTTCCAGAGCCAAAAGCAGAGTTTAATAGGCGGCATTTCGCAACACGGATTGTGGCGCAGAGGGCGCTGGCAAGGCTGAAGGAAATGTGGAGAATTATTCAAGGAGTGATGTGGAGACCTGATAAACATAAGTTGCCCAGGATTATTCTGGTTTGCTGCTTGCTTCACAACATTGTGATTGATATGCAAGATGAAGTGCAGGATGAGCTACCTTTGTCTCACAACCACGACTCTGGTTACCATCAACTGATTTGTGGAGCTGTTGACGTAAAAGGAGCATCACTAAGAGATAACCTGTCTCTCTTCTTAACCGGAAGCTTGCCTCCGTGATATTTTGTCTGTTACTTTCGGTTGCTACCTCAAGAATGTATCTGGAAATCTGAGTTTCTTGGAGTCAACTCGCCTCCTTAATTTATACTTTGTAATTCAAATTGCATATTACTGTGTGAAGATTGCACCTTATCGTATTCCGATGTGCCAGCTCAAATCATTTTTTTTTAATGGCTCAATCCATTTTTAAGTTACTTAGACCGCATATCAACGCCCTTTGTTTGAGATTTTTTTTTTGGGTGGGTTTTGAGGGGGGGGGTGGTGGCACCTCTTCTTGAAACTTGAAAGTAATTATTGCATCTACTTTTCCAAGTGGCATGTAGGTAGAAATTCATCAAGTGTTAATTCCGTATAGGTTCCCAACTTTATAATTCTCTGTGATCATTGAACGAAGGATTAACCATCCAAATTGAAAATCAAGTCATGTTGGCTATGCTAAATGGTTTTCCCTTCTGATCTAATGTGCGTCACATGCTAATAATGATTCAAAAAATAAAAATAATTTTAATGAAAGAAAGTCACGTCAAAAAACTGTTGGCTGCAAGCAATGAGACAAGTATGGCTGATAGCCATAACTTGCCTAGCAAAAGGGGGATAGAAACACTTTTTGTTTCTTTCGCCAGAGAAAAGGGGAAGAAACTTGTGCCCGAAGTATTCTCCTACGGAGAGTTTATAATGCTCAGCATCTTGGTACGGTAACGAATTAGTATGAATTAGGCAGCCAGAGACATTTTTAAGGACATTTTAAGATTGCAGTTACTTCGGCCCCCCTTCTGCGAACTTCAACCTCGAATTCAATGGTAACTGGTGAATAAATGAAGCATGCGATGGATAGACACAAGGGCAGGGTATCATCTAGAAGATAAGACCAAAAGTTTAAGTAGCATTGAGTCTTTGAAAGAGAAAAATAGAATTAAACAACGACGAAGTTTCCAGCGGTAGTTGATAATTACAGTTCATCTGAGAGTATAGACAACAAGTTTGAGAGTGACGTTAGTTTGAAGACCAGTATGCTTTTTGTTAGCAAACAAATGAAGAGTTTAATTTATATTCGTGATAATATATTGAAAACGTAAGCCCTGATGACGGATGACCATTAACAAATGGGAGAAGATATGTCAAGATAATAGCAATATGTATGAAAGCTCCACTTGCGGAGTGACTGGCAAGCAGCATTAATACAGTAAGTCTCACGTCGGCCGTTTGAAAAATATAGCAAATACTATCAGCAGTTACCACCAGAAATCATGCGCAGCTTCGTTGCAACTTCCTGAGCTCCCGTGTTCACACACTCAGTTGAAGTTGAACATGCGCCGCCCACCGTTAGTTGTTATCAGATTAATAATAATGAATAATACCTCTATAGTTCAGTATAATACTTTTATTTTTTCCACGTTACATTTTTTATTTTTCTAGTATATTATTTTTAAACAGAATTGAATTTTTCTTTTTGTGTGTTTGTCGCAATCTAATCCATTTCCTCCCCAGAACAGGACAGGGCACACGGCAGTGTGAAATCATGAAATGAGGTGGCACGCTGGCTTCTTTTCCCTACAATTTTCTCACTCGTTTTTCTTCCACGCCCACGTAATCATATCAAGTTTCTAACGCCAACCTTCCTCTTCCTTTACCGCTGACATCTTTCCTTAGCTTCCCCACTTTCGTACTACTCTGATACTCTCCATCTATTTTTATATGCCCCCACGTCCTCTGCTCCCCATCGCCCACCCTTATCCAATAAGAAATCCCATAATTAATACAGACCATTTATTTATTTGTTTCATTTATTTATATGTGAATATTTTAATTCCACAAAAATTAATTTATTTTTATTAAATAATTTAATATGTATTTAGTGATAAATAATGAGTGATTTCAACTAGTAAATCATATAAACTAAACATAAAAATTTATCGCTCGGAAAGAAGAAAGTTTGTTTTTTTTTTTTTCCTTTTTTAAGGGGGCCTTCGTGAATGCAACGCTCTTGGCTGCGCCTGGCTTAAGGAGTGTTGTAGACTAGATTTGGGAGCCTAGCGCAGTTACAGGACGAAAAAGCTCCATGCCGTCTGTCAAACTTTCCAATGAAACGCGGTCACGCAAGCACAGCGAAACTGCATTTGATGCGGTAAATTACACCTAATAATCAAGTGTCTTTTCGATCGGAACCGTTCCGTTCCTTACTTACCAAGAAAACTGACCCCCACGTAACTCCCAAGTCATACTTGATTCTTATATATATTCCCTCTTGATGATTTCCTTCAACTTGTACGCTGTTCTACCTGTCAAACTAACCCAGGTTTCATTCCATTTCCGCCTCGACAACTCGTAAAACACGTCGATCAGCCATGAAGAGAGGAAGAGATGAAGGCGAGTCAGAGGACTTAAACATGACGAAGTGTTTGATGTTACTGTCCAGAGTTGGGGTGACTAATAACCCTTCCTCACAGGGCAGTGACGGTGGTTTTAAGTGCAAGACTTGTAATAGAGTGTTCCCTTCCTTTCAAGCTCTTGGAGGGCACCGAGCCAGCCACAAGAAGCCCAAGCTCATGCTTTCTTCCAAGCTCAACAAGATGCATCCCTGCCCCATTTGTGGAACCCAGTTTGGAATCGGACAGGCCCTCGGAGGTCACATGAGAAAGCACAGAGGTCCTGTTCATAAAAATAAGTTTGATTTATGCCTGGACTTGAACTTGACGCCCCTGGAAAATGATCATCTCAGCCTTAACTTGAGGACGCCCCTCGTTAATTTTTTTTGACTGATTGTATCATGTACCAGAGTAGTATATTTGATTATATTCATGATGTTTTGCGCATATATATATATATATATATATATATATCTTCATTTATGAGATCTCTTTCAGCTCAGCCATGAGACACACTGCTACAAATTTTTGCACACTCTGTGCATATTGTTTTCTCATCAAAGTAATTATCTAGTTGTATATATTTGCATGTGGCTCTCCAGTTTTCACAATCGTCTAACTGTGACACAGAATATAATCGAATTAAAAAATTGTGATACTTAAATATCCTGAAAGTATTCATGAAGGAATATCCAGCACCTGAAAGTTGCTTTGAGAGTTTTATTTCGTAGCATATCTGTCTTGAACCATTATTCACCATTCAATCAAACTACATAATTTAACAATCAAATTTAACAGCAAATAATGACTAGGATATTTTTGTTGTGAAAATAAACTTTCAGGATATATAAGAGCAAAAAAAAAAAAATTTCAAGTATTGGTTGTTCATTTCTAGATATTTTCAGAATATTTAAACACCTTATTCTAAAAATTGTTAATGAGAAATATTTTTGTGTCTCAATTTTCACGAGGATGCTTTTTTTTGTTGGACTTTACTTAAAAATTAAAGCCCATCGCTTAATGGATTGAATTGAACAAAAAGCCCCTGTTTGTTTTTAAACACTTTCAATCTATTTTCATTAATTAAATTAATGGAATATGCCCTGTTTGTTAAATAAAAACATTAATATTTGAAAGAATTATTAAGGTATCTGCAGGGAACAGTTGATTTTTGCAAAATTGCCTAGAGTTACTAAGCTCTCGATCATTTTCTGATTATGTATCATTTCCTTCTTCACCTTTTGGCGCCGCGGCACAAGTTTCTCATGGGCTCAATCTTGTGACCAACGTCCCCGAGTATCTATGGTCCACCACATTTCAAGTACGTTCATGGGACCCCCGCTCGACTGCTCCTCATTTAACATTACACTGCCTCTTCTTTTTAATACAAAAACTAATTAATTAATTTAAATAGAATAAAAAAAATAATTAAATCAATTATTTATAATAAATATGTATTTTTTAAATGTTCTTATTAATTATATGTATTAACTAAAATAACTATTTGATAGCACAACTATTACAAAAACTATTTTAAAAAAATAGATAAATATAAAAGACAAAATAAATTAATGTCTTATATTTAGAACGGAAGTAATATTATTATTAAGCAATAAGACAAAGATATATAACAATTTATCATATATTTAATTACTTGATTAATTAAGTGAAGTTAATTGCAAAAAATGGCACAATATAATATAGATTCCATTCAATAACTTCTGAAATTTCAATTTTTTGAAAACGAATTTTCTTTCTTTCCTTGTGCATGTGATTTGTGATTTATCCTCCAATGAATTTCATTGCTCAACATGAAGATGATATCACCAAAGCTATGATATGCTACCATAAACCAATCTCATTTTTCCTTTTCTACCCTTTTGACACCCCTGCCTATCGGGCCATCGGCTACCGCAGGCTCCCATGCCCCAGCCATCACGGATGGTAGCAGTGGGGCGGCAGAAGAATTGGCTTGTTATGAGAAAAGAGACCTCCCTTAGATTTCTTCTCAAATATTATTCCCCCAAACACGGCCACTCATGCGCGTTTGGCTGTTCGCGCTTCGCAGCCACCGCCCGTTTCTGATTCTCTCTCACTAGGGAATGCCGCAAAGGCGAAAAGACCAATTTGGGAATCACGAAGGTTGCTGCTCTCCTTTCACCCGTAAAAACAAAAGGTGCTCCCTTCCATCAACGGTCTAGATCTATTTTCCACATCACACGTGTGTGTCAATAACAAGGGCAACCATGAATTATGCTTCCTTCAGGCTCATCCTGTCTCCAACCGTTTACCGAGAAACGATCGAGTGCGATTCAGACACCGGACCGAATATCTCATTGCTTTCTCCCTCTTAAGGCCGTGTGCCTTCGCCGGAAACTTCAGAATATGGGTGCATGAGAAAGACCTTCCGTTTACGTTTCTTTGGATGGAATAGATGATGGTCAGATCGTTGAATTTCAACGTGTAATCGCTTGTTCGCAATTCTTCGGTTCGGTTATAGGCGTTTATGTGCGATGGATATCTCTTACATGAAAATTTCTGTTCGCAAAATCCCTATGATTGACAGATAGCGGAGTACTACATGTGTTTTCTGTCTCTTGTTTCCAATGTAAGCTTTCGTGATCGTAAATTCTTACCATTGCCTCCGGCTATTGTTTATTCTCCATTTTTTCTGTTCCGTTGTTGAGCTCGAAGACGTGAATCTTGTTACTGTACATGAAGAGGCTTTCTGCAGAGTCTAGATGCAGGAGTGGTTACAGCTTTGGAGTTCCCGTGGACAGTGCTAGACAGTAATAGTACCGCCTGGAAAGAAGTCGCCGTGGATTGAGGAATATATATCCCGTGAAGTAGAAACAGATGGTATGCTCTAGATTCTGCTTTCTTCACTCTCTCTTTATTCACAATGTTTTAGTGTGTGCTTTGGTTGCGTTTTTCTAAAGAGTTCATATCGCGCACGAAAAATGTTGCGTGGTGAGCCATCTGCACTTCTCTTCTGGGATTCGGACAGCTTCTGTGCCTTCTTCTCTTTGGAAGGAGACAGGGAGTGATAGAGAGGCTATGAATCATGAGCTCAGGCATGAGATTCAGGACACTTTAAGACATGAACAGAGCACGATCTATAAACCATAATAGCGCGCAGGTTTAGGCATGTGATATTTGAGCGTGTTTACCCGCGTGAACGTAATTGCATATGTGAGATAGATTAGCGCCAATTAGTTTCTGGAAATAATCTACTAAATGTATCTGAGATTTGTTATTGCTATATGGCTGTTTTGTCAAATAGCCCTGTCTACTTTCCGAGGGTTAATTTTCATAGCTAATGCATACGTAACCGCACACGGAATAACGGCTAAAATGATAAATCTATAAGTGCATACAGGCATGCACGGATATGGTAGATATTAATGACTCCCGGAGTTACTTTATAATTCGTAAGAAGGATTCAGGTTTAGATTTTTAGTTTTTTCACTTGTCTTAGATTTAAATTTGGAAGGTTTTATGAAAGGTTATTTGTCATTGTTTATTAAGATCAGTTTTAAGGAGAAGAAATTCCTTCTCAAATTATTGTGTTTCCCCATTTGACCTGTCTATGTCGCAATTCTGTCTCACCTGCTTTACTACGTGAATTCCAATATTTTTTGCTGCAGTCTTACCAAAGCCAGGGATTTTGGACCGTAAAGGGCACTGGACATTTCAATGACAGAGAGACCGCATTTGATAATCCTTCTAAAATTGAATCAAAGCGAACTCATCGATGGTTTATTGATGCTGCTGAAGTAGATTTTTTTCCTAACAAGAAACAAGTAGTCGAAGATGAAAATGGAAAATCAGGTTAGGGAATTTCTAGTATAAATTTTTCTCACTGGGAGAACAATCCTAATTTTAATTCAGTTCCTAATAACCAATTTATCGGCCGACTGTTTGGGTCGGAATCTAAGCCTGTCAATTTTGAGGAAAAGGATAGTTCTTACGTTGCGGATGATAATTCTAATGTGACGACGAATATGATGATCAGTCAATACAGAGAAGATGCACCTGAAGAAACTGAAGCACTTCTAAGTTTTGAGGGAATTAAAAAAGTCAAAGTTAATCAAGTTAAGGATTCTGATAGTGTACAAGCTGAAGCCAGGCATAATTTGATCAGGCAGAATATCAGCGATCGTCATCAGGCTTATAATGGTGAACCTGAGATAGGCTATATGTCGTCAATAGGGCAAGCTCTTGATAAAGGTAGAAATGTCACTCTCATGGAACTTCCTCCAACAGGGCGGATGCCTGTGTCATATCATTGGCTGAGGCCGATGATAAAGGTACTGCCGTATCGGTTGGTGATTCCTATAATAAAGAGGACACTTACGATATCTTTTTGTGGGTTCCCAGATGGACAGGATATTATCCCTGTGAACAGGCCTTCTGGGGACTTTGGTCCCTTATACAATCTATCTTCGGTTCAAGTATCAACAGCAGCTAATGAGAAAGAGTTGAATGCATCAAATTCCAATGCAACTGTAAGTATTCCCGGGGTAGATAAACTAAAGGCTGAACCCGTATCCAAGAATAAACCAGAGCTCAAAGCAGCGAAGAAAGAAGCCCCAAATAGTTTCCCTTCTAATGTCAGAAGCTTGATATCCACTGGTATGCTTGACGGTGTTCCTGTAAAGTATGTCTCGGTTTCCCGGGTGGTACGGTCTCTCCTGTTTAATTGTGAATTCGCATTGTTATTTACTAAGTTTTGGTTATGTACCTGCATGGGTGAAGGAACTTGGGGGAATTATAAAAGGTTCTGGCTATCTTTGTGGATGCCAGTCATGTAATTATTCCAAGGTTAGTAATCACCGCTGTTCCACAATCCGACATAACCCCTTGTTCATTTTTTTCCCAACTTAAAATTTAATTGCCACCTACTCAACTGATGATTTATGTTTCAGGTTCTGAACGCTTACGAGTTTGAGAGACACGCTGGTTGCAAAACAAAACATCCAAACAATCACATTTATTTTGAGAACGGGAAGACCATCTACCAGATTGTACAAGAGCTGAGGAGTACCCCTGAAAGTTTGTTGTTTGATACAATCCAAACAGTTTTCGGTTCGCCGATTAATCAGAAAGCATTCCGCAATTGGAAAGGTAGACAAATTACTCCTTATGTCTGTTTTGCACTTAAATGCATGCAGGCATACAGAATGGTTTTTATTTCTGGGTTATTTGATTCGTCACATATCTAATTATTCTGCCTATGCCAATTCTCTTCAATTCTCTTCAGAATCTTTTCAAGCAGCCGCACGTGAGCTTCAACGTATTTATGGAAAGGAAGAACTGAATATATGAGTCACAAGGCCTGGAAGAAATAATATTATGATTAAACTTTATATTGTGCGCAGGAAGTTATATCAAGTGGGAGAAAATGCAAATAAGCACTTATTTTTCCCCACCTGTTCTGGTGCGTCAACCCAATTGCATACTGTATACGGCCTATTTCAATAGATGGGAGGCCACTTGTTAGAAGAGCAAGACGTACTGACTTATTTTTGGGTTGCTGGTTCGGATTCATCTCGAAAACTTCCCGTTATCATGGGCCCGTGCAGTTCCCTTCTCAGTTGAATATCGCCGGTGGCATCATCCTGATAAAATGCTTCTGGTGTCACCTAGCTATCACTATTTCTGTTGGTGGGTGATTGCGTGAGTAAACCAATGGATGATAAATGAAGCGCGTTTTCTTCCTTTTAAGTCTAAACTCAGTTTGGCCCACAACGAAAAGTCTAAATTCAAATTTCCGGGCTTTTATAATTTCATTATGCAGTATATTTTGCCCAAGGAGAGCGTATGCATATAACGCGGGCAGATTTAAATAATAGAAACTTAAATATTATCATGATTGATATGCAGTAGTATCTTTCTTTTTCCCCCCTGTGCCCTGCGTTCCGCGTTGGGCCATGCATTTTCGAAAAGCTATTGACAATTGAAATTTATTTTTAAAAAAATTGTTATAAAACCTTAAATAAATAATATAATTACTAAAAAATTTAAGTGCAATAAAACAGCTTGTAATGATAGGCCCTCGGAAGATAAATGATAATTGTTCACCCCCTTTATGGGAGTGCCGGTTCTTGCCACATGCATATTTATTTAATGTAAACTCAGTTTATATTTCAAAACAAATAATGATCACACCCTCCTACCATTAAAAGCCAAGGGCGTTTTAGAATGCATTTGCTAGTTAAAAACTACTCTTCAGACCCAAAATTTGAAACGAATACAAAAAGAAAGAAGCCTAAACCACAAATTATAAACGTCACCCAAGCAATGTTTCATCCTTCCTGCTTGTTTTTGGTGGATAAGTTCCCTCCAACTAGAAATACTTTCGACTCAACCACAACAGCCCGGCTTGGAAGCAGCCTGCTCAGCCCCCGCTTCTTGCTGGCCGATTCGGATTGTTGATGGCTGCAATAAATTCACCATGAAAAGTTCACACTTTCGAGCGCTATCACCATATCAATTTGCCCGAGAGGAAGTATAATTACCTCTGTCCTAGAGTCGTGATCAGCAAGCCTCAGTTTTATATCTCTTGCTATCGAGAAGAAAACCTCCTCCACATTTAGATTTGTCTTTGCGCTCTGCAACAGAAAATCCTTCAGTGCATCATAACAAAAAGAAACTTCCGGGACCTTCAACCTTAGCAAGGACGCAGCACTTACAGTTTCAAAGAATTTAATTCCATACTCATCCGCCAGTGCTTGACCCTTGGAGGTTGGCACAGCCTAAAAAAAGAAGGTTATGTACATCATTCCTATCGGGGCGAATCTGACTCGCGGAAGAGTGGCTCGCATATGTCATTAATTCATTAATTTTATATAAAAGCCAAACAAATGGGTTCACTGCTTAAGTCAATAATGAAGTAGGCACATTCTATAAGGTTGAGAGTTCATTTAAGCGACGTGGCGCACAGCTCTGCATCTCTGATGGTCAGAATTGACGTTGGAGGGGTCTTGGATTTGAGTCAGGGCATCAACACTTTGTTCTCATAGCGTCATTCAAAACACCACAAGCGGGGAGGGGGAAGCAAAAGAGGGTTACATATATGTATTTACTCCTCCGGTCCTTATTATAAGACCCCATTTGACTTTTTATTTGGTTCTAATTATAAGACCCCAATCCATTTTGTCTTTTATATTTATGCATTTTTTTCCAAGATAATCCTTCTAATAATGATAGTTTTAGCCAATATACTTAATTAGCAAGGATATTTTAGGAATGACAACACTTATTTATTATAAATAACCAACTTAACTTCCTTAATCTCTTCAAATAAGTCAATTAGGTCTTATAATTAGGACCGAAGGAGTATATATATAAGGTACTTCAATAAAATAAAAACAAGTAAATGTCTTGGACATTTTTTGCTTATAACTAACTCTTGTTATTAATACTTTTAATATATTTTTAAATTTAAAATTCAATTAGTTTGATTTCATTGAAAATAAGTGTGTGCGCGCGCGTCATAGAAATTCCCAATCAAGTTTGCCTACCCTTTTACTTTCATCCATGTCAGCTTTGTTCCCCACCAGTACTTTGTTAACATTGTCGGAAGCATGTTGCTCAATATTTCGGATCCAGTTCCTGATATCTGCAATTAGAAGCTAGGTGAAAATTCCAGTCAAGAAATCATACAAAGAGAAAAATCTCAGAAATCCAGTTATAATTAGAAGTTGGATCTGGGAATTTTACTATTAAATGACGATTCATCTGTAACGTCATAGACTAGCAAAATGCCCATAGCTCCCCGGTAGTAAGCTGGAGAAAAACAGTTTACTAAAATGATTAGTAAGCTATAGTGTAAAATGATGAACTGGCGAAACACTGAAATCATACAAAATGCCAAAATCTTTGAAGAAAAAACTCCAGCGAAGCATGAATGAAAAAATATCCACAAAAGGGCCATCCCTGGTAAGGAAATGCATATCTGGAGCTCAATTCATGATAGCCAAAGCTATAGGTACCTCTGAGGACAATAGATCCTACGTGATTTCCGCCCCCCCGGGGGGAGGTGGAGAGACTTGCTGGACATCCAATCTAACATGGCAATGATAGAATTCCTCCCAGGCACTCTTCTCCTATGCTCACATACAGTAGAATTATTCTGCCGTGTGGTCCCAAGATGGAGAATATCTTGTTTTCATGTTTTGAGTGGTCAGATGTTTTAAGTGTTGATTGGGATGAGTTGTCTATTGTTTATGTGTGTTGTCATCAATTCAAGTAGTTAGCTATATGTTGTTATGGTGAGTTATCTGTATGACATCTACATGTATCAGATCAAACTCTTAGTGATAAAGGTGTGAAATATTATTCAGAATAAATCTTGGAGATTCTCCTTTGGCCTTAGACTATTATAGGCATAGATTTTCACTCTAGCATTCTAATGATTTCTTACTTATGATTCATTCCCTTCCTTCCATCCTTATCTTCTTGTTATATATTTGACTCAAGATCCCTGTTTTCGTTGCAATGTGTTTGCTACTGAGAGGAGAGGCATTGGGGTCATAGGGGGAGGAAGGTGGAAGGAGTGATAGTGACTGAGGTGGTGAAGGAGATGGTGATGGCAGGTTTGCAATGGAGTTGTTTGATGGCTGTCAAGAAGAGGGAAGAAGAACAGAGAAGAAGGGGAGGGAAAAAAAATTGTTTGAAAGCATTTTTGTCTTTTAAATAACATTTTAATTAATTAATATAAAAATAAATTTGTTTTCACATTCCAAATACCATACCAAACAAAATTAGTAGCATTTTCATTCCATTCTTTTGCACGAATAGCCTTTCTAGTAATCAAATAGACCGAACTGTGAAGAGGTCATACAGCCCATGGTTTTGATCCTCATATTACCCACATCCTCAGTTCCCATTCCCTACGCCTCATGCCTCTTTTAACCATCAATCGTTAAGTTAAACGGGAAAAAAAAATCCACAAATTAAACTTGCCTTTTTTCCGGCCAATATTTGTGTCCAATAAATTCCACAAGACTGGCAAAGAAAGTGGTGGAAAACCGCAACAAATTTAAAGATTTGTTTGTTTTAGGCTTCAGCATCAGTTGCAGTTTAAGGGATTTGATTTCGTTCTACTATCTACGCAGAATTGTCTACGAATTTGACTTGCAGACTACCCACTATGGGCACTTCAGTTCCGATGATCAATAAGAATCAGAAACCTTACCAGTTGTAATCGTTCGAAACCGCTCCTGACCTGCAGTATCCCATATTTGGAGTTTGATCCGCTTGCCATCAAGCTCAATGGTTCTTATTTTGAAATCAATGCTGCATGAGGAAGATATATTTTGTCATGTAAGAGAAATTTATAGCATGCTATGATTAACAGTTGTTACTCCTGTTGTGTAAAAACGCACCCTATGGTTGTGATAAAACTAGTAGTGAAAGAACCATCTGAGAAACGCAGAAGGAGGCAACTCTTTCCCACACCTGCAAAAATTAATAGCAGAGGAGGTTTGTCCTCAATCCACGAAGGCCGTATGGTAGGGCACCATAATTATCTTTAGTAGTTTCCGCCACAAACCCTTTTTCTTAAGTGCTCTAACAAACCATCAATATTGCTATTATTATTTGATTTCCCGGGAAGAAAAGGCAGTGACACATGGAGATGATGGACGCATGACAATTTGATGTTGTAGCAAAAATTGGACAGGCTGATAATTTATATTAGTAGACTAATAAGACAAAAGAAGTTTACTAGAATCATCAACCACAGTCGTCTTTTCATTTTAGAAGCTAGCAGACCATTCGACTGCTTTGGCAAGTAATGTGCCACGAATTAAACGCATTATTGAATCAGAGAGACGCTCAACTTCATGTAAAATGCACAAAGACGTTATGAGATCAAGATCAAAACGAACATTAATTTTGATATGTTCACGTCGAAATGCATTCTAACCAAACAGTGGTTCAAATTCACGCTCAAACTACGTCATAAAACGATGCAACAGATAATATTCTGCAAAAACGAAAAAGAGAATCACTAGTTATGCTTTTCAAACACCGAATCACACATTTTCTGAAATGTTGAGGGGGAAGATGCCACGCACCACTGTCGCCGATCAAGAGGAGTTTTATAAGGTAATCGTAATCAGCACGAGCCCTTGCCGGTGGAGCAGCCATCAACCTTCGATCGATCAATAAAATCCTCGACGATGATTATTCCTCTCTGTACAAAGATCATTTTACTGTCAATTAATGATTTCTCTGCCAAACGCATGACGGAGAGATTAAGAGAAAGCCTACACATACCGTACCAGATCAGAAATGGAAAGGCAAATGAGGGAGCGAGAGAATCTCCAAAGCTCACAAGTGATGTAACATGGAGATTTGGAGAGAAAGGAGTGGGAGTTTCTGTTTACGTAATTTTTTCCCCTTTTAACTAAAATTTTGATGTTGGAGCTGTTACTGGCCTTCAACTTTGTAAGTTTCTCCGACTCCATTGGGTTGCTAAAGTACGCACCCCCTGCCCATGGATTCCATTCCTTTACTTTTATTTTTGTTTTTTACAAAATCGGAAAAAGTTTCGAAGTGAAGCCCGACTCGGACCCTCTTCTTTTGTGGAGGGAATATTTCGCTCGCGCCTCCACCGTTGTGAATCTAACGATGCAAAAATTGCCACGTCATAGCTAACAAGGCGCCAGACGGGGATAATTCTCCTAATCCTTTTAATAAAATCTCAACGGAGACCCTGAGGTGTGACCAAATTCGTAAACAGCACGATGCGCGTGCGATCGGGGAGCTGAGGAGTGACGAGGGAAGCGGCGCGGGGCCACCGTGGCCGGACCAGGAACTCTTCTTTGTCGATCTACCTCCACTTCCTAGTTGCCACTAGATGATTTTCCACGTTTTCCTCCACCCTTCATGTACATGGTTTTGTTCTTCTCCGTGTGGACTGCGGAGAGGCGAAAATACTAGCCTGCTTTAGATAATTAAATCATTCATTTCAGATATGCTATAGTAATATGATTTGCTTTGGATCGTTTATACTTTTCTTAATAAAGTAAGGAACAAGTCCAACCCAATCCTGTTAGTGCCTGTGCCCGATTGGGTGGGTTGAGATAACAGCAACCCATCTTGCTCTTGTCATTGCCAAAGATATAGACGAGGCTGCAAAGTTTGTTTCTGTTGGTAATTGTTGTTTCTCTCCCACCATTGGCTAATTAGTTTGTTGTGCTTTTTTTTGGTTGTTTTTTTTTTATACTTTGTTTTTGTGTTGTTTATATTGAACTTCCATTAACTTTTTGGCGGTAATAAAAATAAATATTTTTCTAGTTGAAAAAAAAAATTCAACCCACTCATATATTTCTGATCATCTATGAAATACATACGAATAACAAAACTGAATCCTTCGGAAGCATTTGCCCTGGTGATCGCACCAAAACGTAATAAAAGTGACAAGGCATACTTCGGCGAAACGAAACTTAACGGGGCAACTAACTTGTCTAGATGCGCAGAAACGGGGAAAAAGATAAATGGCGTCGCCCGGACTCGAACCGGAGACCTTCAGTGTGTTAGACTGACGTGATAACCAACTACACCACGACACCTTTCCTGGTGAAGTGTCGCGAAAAGTGACATTTAAAAAATAATTCTTGTTCTTCCCGCCTATCAGCCGCGTCGTCTAACTGCTTCTCACAAATCACACCGTATGCATTTCTCTCATCTTTGTCAGATCATCTCCGTGTGTTGAAGATAAAGGTTGATAAAATTGTCTGCAGCTTTGGATACGATGGGGGACGACATCGTTAAAGGAGTATTTGGCTTGAAAAAAAAAAAAAGACACTCTTAAAAAATACTTTCTTTATATCGTAAAACTTTTAAAAATTATAGTTTAGTTTACAGCCGAATACCCGCTAAGAACAACAAATGCCGACATCTGGTAGCTTCGAGGGCCGAGTATGAGGATCCGGTTCCGCACACAGTGCGGCTGATCGAGTGGTACCTTATACAGCTGCTAAGGTAGCCTAGTTAATTTCAATTCATTTTCATATGCTTTATCTGAATCCACTCCCACTGGCTTTGAATATTTGATCTATCATCTTGTTTGACGGTGTCACATCGCTCATGCTGTTTTTCTGCCTTCCGGTGGCATGGCAGCACGTTATGCATACATATTAACCTCTGGCAGCATACCATGCACAAGGTGTTCCAGCATCTTGCCCGTTTGAGAGCCCTGTTCTATCTTCATGGTTGCCAACAAAGCTGAAAAACCAAATTTATCTCTTTTTCTTCTCCGCCTGGGTCCTGGCATGTAGTTTCTACAAAATAATAGTGTGCATTCATCTTGTATGGCCATTGCATTAGCTGTATGCGTGAAATTTGATATTAAAATGCTTTTGTATTCATTTCATTCCTCCTCAAACATTCATGAAACCATATGCCTATAAGATGGATACGACACAATCATGACTAAGTACATCCATGTAAAGTTAGGATCTAATATCTCCATTGCGGGCTGAAATTGAATCAACTTCTTTTTTTTTTTTGACTTTTTATTGAGATTCCCATTGTAATTATTCTATAAGATAATTATTTAATTATTTTCTAGTATTATTAATTTTTTAAATAGAGACATGTAAACTATTTACTTTTAAATCACGTTTCTTGATTGTTCTGAGGCATTCTTTTTGCTGTTGCATCTGATTTTGCATTCAGATTTATGTTTAACACTGAACGATTTCTACATACCATTATAAAATACAAAATTAATTCACCTCGGTGGGGAAAAAACGGAAGGATCGAGGATTTCCAGTAAACTTGCAAAGAAGTGATAACTGGTAATGTACTTCTAGATTTCTCAGAACCCAAAAAAAAAAAAAAATCCATGTTACTGGAAGTAGACGAGAATTTACGATTGCTTAGGCTTGGTAACCTTTTCCCAACTAGAAAATATCAATCTCAGCACGGAGCAAAAGATTGCCTTGACGCAAGAAATTACAAAGTTCCAGCAGGAGGAGGGCCAATACCACGGATAAAGCAATCTGAAGAACAGGCTAATGAGGTGCCGAGGGTATCTCCCAACCTGTATCATCAACTTTTAGCTTTGACAAACCAATTTTGTTCATGCTTATAACTATGAAATATTAAAGGTTCACTAAAGACTGATGACTCAAATTCACTTGCCATACATTGCATAGAGCAATAGAAAAAAGCTCTCGCTAGTTAAGGTAACTTGATCACGAATTATCAAGAAATACTCACAGGGAAAAGCAAATCTAAAGCCTGCCACGCTGCATGGCGAACAGCTCTTGTGGGATACATGGGACCCCCAGGACACGTGAAACTATACAAACAACTCTTCAATCTCGTACTCGTTGTCATTCTTAATTCCATACCTGTGTAATGGCCAAGATAGAAATCAATGAAGTTATTTAAAGTTGAAAGAACAGTCAATTAAAAGCATCCGAGAGGTCGACATAGTACCCTGAAGTATTTTGATTTGTGAAAGATAGTGCAGCAGCACTGGTTCCACCTTCAACTTTAGAAGCTACCAACATAAAAATGTCTTAACACCTTAGAATTCCATCTCCATTTCTTTGTATGAAACCCACATGAATGTCAAGGCAAATATACCTGATCAGTAAGTTCAGTAACAAATATATCTGACGGGCTGCCAACAAAGAAAGCATTTGGGAAAGTGGGACAATGTTTCAAGAAGCTTTCCATTCCGTCAGCTGCAAGCACAAGTATCATATGAGACAAGTGTAATGCCATTCACAGGACATAATCCACCAGGAATCATGAAGATATATTTCAACCTGAGTTGTAAAATGGAAGGAACCTTGATAGCAAAAGATACATATCTCGCTGAGCCTGAGAATTTCAAGCAGTGAATTTCAATATGCCATTGCCAGCAGGAATCATAAACCAACTAGAAGATTGAGTATTAAAAGCACAATTTCATCTTATTCAAAAACGAAAGCTGAACAGATCGAGAGATTTTGAGGTTATCTAACCTGCACAGGAATTTTATTCAATCGAGTATGGTTTAGCACAATATCATCTACAAGATACTGAACTCAAAGGAAGGGGAAAAAAAAAACACAATTAGAAAGGAAGATTTCAACATTTCCCAAAAAAATAAATATAACTGAAAACAACAAAAATTCTCCAGTACAAGTGTAATGAATCTCACATGAAAGAGGGACTGGAAAAGCCTTGTGTTTGTTTGAATGTCAATCCTGTGCATGATCAGAGAAATTATAGCCCATCACCACAAGATTATAGTTATAGAAATGGTGCAATTGCTGCACCAATGGCCGAGGTTTATAACACTGGACATTGGGAAAGGGGGAGTGGGTCGGGCTTGGACAGATTCTGCTAAGTTGGCACGGGAATGATGATATTAAATTAAATTTGAATTTAGAAATAAATAATAAACCATTAAAATCAATAAATTAAATATAAATTGAAAATATGGATAGAAGAGCCCCAGCAAATATTTTTTTCTACCCACTTCTAAGTCATGTCCTGATTGACACGAGTAAAAACTAGCTACTCCAAAGCTGGTCGAACTTTAATTTTTGGATGATTGAATCTAGCGAAGTTTAGAATAAGCATGCTTACAAGTGCAAGTAATAACCAGTTAAGTCAGTTCATTCAAAAGAGTTCGCACCCCGTCAGTGCCCCACAAAAAAAAAAAAAAAAAAAGAGTTTGTATCCCTACCAGAAAACATTTCTTGCGCCTTCAACCAGAGCAGACGAATAACGGAGAAGTACCTCTGGATTATCAAGTTCAACTTCGAATAACTGCGAAACCACAGGGTGGAGTTAGTTGCAATACGACAGCTACGCCAAATAAAAGCTAAATTTTTTCACCAAAAAAAAAAAAAACGAGTAACTAAAACGTTGGTTCTATTGATGAACTTATTTGAACTATTCAGCATAGCTTGCCCTGTATGAGAAGAATTGACTCATCAAAACCAATGCCTAACAAAGCTGGGGCCTCTACAAGCCACAATATTATTTACCAATGACTAAAACATCTACAAAAATTACACTATCTGCAGTGATCCCCAGCCTCTTCATTTTTCCTTATGAACCTTGCGGGATTTTTCAGATAATAAATTTATTCTATTATATTTATTTTGCCGTCCAACTAAACTCTACTTTGAATACGCACAAAACACATATAATATCTTAACATGTTCCCCCGGCAAAACAGTAACCTAGTGTCCAGGAAGACTTTAGCATTTAACAGTTAACATCGGCCATAGTAACCTGCATATTACTTTTGCACTGAAGTTTATGATTGGGGTTGGAGGTTGGTCCTTGATCAGCAATGAGTGTTAAAAGATGCCATAATCTATAATTTATCCTTAAACAATGATATAGATGCATGCTCACATACCCATTTGTGGAATAGGAGAGCAAAAATATTTGAAGCAAATGATTGGCTCCATAGTTGGACAATCAAGTCAAGGATGGGCTTTCCATGTTCAGGCACTCGAACAAAATAATCAGCAAGCACTTCATAGAAACATAATAAACCATTGATACCATCATCTGCAGGAGAGATTATATCTTCTTCCCTGCTGAAAATTATATCTGTTCTTGTAAAAAAAATTGCAATTGGTAATTCTGGTTGGGAAAATATGGAAGACTCAAATGTGCCAAAAAAATACAACGTTTGACACCTAGTTGGCTGGTGCCAAGAATTCTAGTCGAAATAATCAAGTGTAGCAATTAACGAAGTCGTGGTTAGAATTTGGAACATCTTATTAAACCAGCTAATTATATTAGCGCATCAAGAATAGTTGCCCAGTCGATGTAATATTCATCTTAAGGAAAACCATTAACTTCCAGATTATGAAAAAAAATTTGCTACCTTGTACGAAGAAGACAATGATAAAAATTCTTTTTTTTGTTTGGAGAGAAATATGACGAATATATCACATATTCCATTGCCTAACTAAGCAACATCCATAGAGCAGACAACAGCAAGCCCACGAGAATTTTTAGATTTTAATAAATATATAAAACATCTGAACATAAAAAGGAATAGAATACGAACTAGTTGTTATTTTTTACGCTTTGGAGAATTAACAGTGGCCATCAGTGCCTCAGCCTATTTATCTGTACCATCTACATCTCACCTTTGGCTCGGTCATCGACTTCTAAAGCTATGTCTGCAAATAGCTCCTGCAACAAATTGCGCCTCTGTAACGAACTAGCTAGTGCCTGTAAGAAATTTACCAAACATAATTCTGTTTAGGAATCTCGACAAAATTTTCACAAAGGATAATAAAAAGGTATTAACGCAACAGCTGTTTAAATATATACAGAAGAAATTAAGTAGCCGTACAATTGTACATGCATGCAGTTATCAAAGTGATCGGCGTTAACACTAGTTGAAATCGAGGAATTTTTAATTCATATATCATGATCCATAAAATAGGGATTACTGGGTGAGAGCCAGCCAGCAGTAATCTACATTCTACCATCCGAGTCATATGTGGCCGCAATTTCTAGCTAGAATCAGAAAAAACTTGATTCATTCTCAACATCTAACCAAAAGTTAAAAGAAGCGCCAGGGATATGCAAGATAACTAACCCGCTGGAGCTTCTTGTGGATCGCTTCAGAGAGAGCGTCGAGGTAAGCAGTGCTTCGAGGAGATGCATGAACTCCGGTCATTTTCGATGGATAACGCTAAATTCGAATCTAAGATCGAGCTTTGAAAGGGAAAAACTACTGAGGAAGAGAAATATGGAGCAAAACTCTAGCCCAAACTCCGATCCAGACATGGCGTAAACATCTTCTGAGATGCAGCACGAGAAATCAAACCATAAGAGAAGATTATGAATATGATTCCACATGGACAAATATTGGATGCGGTGCGGAGCTCTGTGCAGCACTATTACACGTGTAAATTTCTTTGTTTTCATTTAAGGTTTGGATAAAGGTACACTTTGGCGGGAGAAAACTGCACAGAGTAAGTTGCAATACGCGCGTCGTTTCCGGACATCCACAAATTGATGGGGCAAATCACTGTCTTTAAACCAATGTTTCAAAGCAGCATAATTAGTGAAGGAATTAATTCGACCATGATAATAATCAAATTAAATTGCTCCCTCTATTTTTGCATAAAAAACGATTGATCTTTCTATTTAAAAATTCCTGACATTTTTCCGTTTTTGTTGTGTCCCAAATGCTAGTCACTGATCAAAATTTGGAGTTTTTTTTAGCCATTCTGCTCTTTCGTTGTTCTTGAACTGCCATTGTGTATAAAAACCTTTCTTTTGGTAAGGATGTTTTATAACAACTTTTGTTTTTTGTATCTTCCATTTTAAATTTTCAAGATAAAATTAATTATATCTTTTCAATTATAACTTTTTGTCATTAACGTTACAAATTTAAGGTAACATTAATTGCGAGAATAAATTAAGAGCACATTAGGAAAATTAAATATTTTTTGACATATCAAAATCATATTCCTTAGCTTGTGTGATAAACGATGTATATAAAGAAATTAAAGGAGCAAGGTCAAAAAAAAGAAGAAAGAAATTAAAGGAGTAGATGATTTTACACTTCATTGATAAAAATAACGGTCAGCACAGTAGTGGTTTTTCTTAAAAACATAACAAAATTCACCCGAAAAGATAAAAACATAACAAAATTAATTTAAAAAAAATATTAGACTTGGAGTTACTTGGATGGGATCAAAACTATAATTTTAAAAATACTTTTACAGTATACAAAGTAAATATATAAAAAAGTTTATCTCTATATGTAAAAAAATATTTTTTAAAAACACTTCTGGTATTATCCAAATATCTTTTTATGGATGATTGCCTGTCTGTCAACCTCGATTGTCTGTTTATCCAACCACTCCCCCCCCCCCAAAAAAAAAAAAAAAACAAAACCCGTGCATCTATGGGAGTGTGATGACTCATCTCAGGCCCAAAAACAAACAAAAGACGAGCAACCTTCTTCCCCCAAAAATTAAAAGACAAACTGACGAGCAACCTTGCCCGCATGACCGCGTTCATTTGAAAAAATTTATTTACTAATTAATTATTTAATTTTAAAGTTTATTGTTATAGTCATTTAAAACTCAAAATAATAATTCTGATTATTGCTACTAAATTTTCGCCCCACAAGTAGAATTTTTTGGTTTCCTGCAGAAGGTATAAATACAAGAAACATAAAAGCACAAGAAAAGCCATGAATTCTCACACCAGAACAAAAAATATTGACCACCAACCAGGGGAACCTTGAATCAGGCCCAAAGAAAGAAAAAAAGCAGGAGACTTCGAACATTGCGAATGCAAGTTTCGTTTAATTGGGCCTAAAAAAGAAAAATGCCACGTATGGCGGGGTTCTACGCCAGCCAAAAAGGAAAAAAGCTCTCTCAAGAAAGAGTTCAAGGAGTTCATTAGTCTCCCCGAAAAAGAAATCAATCTGCTCACCACCCCATCAAGGTTCTTCTAACTTTATCTACAATCTGATTTCTAGCAATAATACTGGTTAATTGAAATTCACAGTTTTCATCCAAAAGAAATCTATAGACCTCCCATTCACGTTCTGATGCCGAACGCCGTCCTATTTCCGCCTAAAACAAGGGAAAAAAGTAATTTGTGATTTGTTAACATACAAGGATATTATCGATACGCCAATGTGCCCCATCAGCATGAAAAGCAAATAATTTGGCGCAAAAAGTTCCTTGACTTCACGCCGACGACATGGGGACCATCCACTATGCTATATAAAGAAACTAGATAGATAATGACAAGTCATGCTTCCTAATGCATATTCAATGTCCATTCTGAAACGTGTATAAATTCTTATAGCATCTCAAGATGTCAGAATCTTACCGAAAAAATGCAGATTCCAAGTGCTTTGAGTACAAATGTAACATCATAAAAAACACGGGGTCTTCCCTTTCCAGATAGCTCAACTGGATTGGCCACCACTAGTTCAGTATCTGGTCCTCGGTTTGCAATGATAACCCGCAGTGGATGAAGCATTTCCAATTTTAAACGGGAACAAAGTGCGCTCTGCTTCTCAGGATCCACAATCTTTTTTCCATCTTTCTGCTGAATAAATAAGTCTAAATCACAATACCCCGTGATCCTCGGTGAGAATCGCCCATATAAAATCTGAGAACACAAAACTAGAAGTCAGCAAGCTTTTCGCCAAAAAAAAAAAACAGCATACTAAACTTTTCGAGCTTTGAAATTTTTTTTTCCAGGTTCATTAACTAAGCTGCTTAATTTTTCTTTCAAAATACTATTCTAAACTATTTATTGAGTTATTCTGGTTATAGATGGCGACATCAAAGATGGATGTAAGAGCTACTTTTACAAGCTTTTTAATCATGGATTAAGAACGACCAGTGATATGCAAGAATTAACAACTCAAGAAGGAGAACGGGATTTAGCATTCAATTTCACAATTCGGGTTGATAAGGTTAAAGAAAAAGGCTCTTAAAAGAATGGATGATAGTAAAACGGTTAAACGGAGTTCCTATCCAACTTTTGAAGTGTTTAGGAGAGAGATCGCCCCCCGCCCCCTTTCATAAAGCTATTTGATGAGATTTTGGGGTCCCAGGTAATGGAGAAATGAAGGAAGAGAACTTTGGTGCATATATACAAGATTATGGGGGTGCCTAGACCTAAGCAAACCATTGAGGGGTAAAACTTAATATGAAAGATCTTGCCACACGAAATTCTTACAATGGATATGCTTCATAACCAATGTTTGCAGATACAAAGTTTCTATCTGTTTTGTGATGACGCATTGGAAACCATGAAGGACGTGTTTATGCAGTGTCACTTCGCTAGAGCCCTGTAATTAGCTTCAGGATTAATAGTAATAGTGAGAATAGATGAGGTTCAAAGTCAAGGCTTCCTGAATACAAGGAAAAGGGTGTGGATTATGCCGTATTAAAATTGATAGTCACTGAAAATGATATTTCCATGATTTTCGTACAACAGAGGAAGATGAGGTTAAATCCAATGAAAGGATTGGTTAGTCAAATCTGTAGGTTATTCTTCATGACATTCAGATCCTAGAATCATGCTTTAGGAAGTTAACATCAAAGCGCTTCCTCAAAGTCTACGGATGTGTTGGGAGGGAAGGATAGTTGGTGATGATAAAACCATTTCACCCTCAACCACCCGTTAGCGCACAAAGCTTACGGATGTGTTGCCATTAAATCACCACAAATTGGGGAATTTTAGTTGCACCGGGCACACACTTTCATGGAACTTACTAATTATGTAAGAACCACTATCAGTAAAAATTCTTCATATATTGCTAATTTAAATTTAAATTTGTTTATAAATTAGGAATAAGAAAAGTTTAGATTTTGTTAATGAGTGAATCTCATCTAATTTGATCCAAAAACGTAAAGAGACATTTGGTCAGTTTATTAGCCCATTGCCCCTGCCATTAAGTAAAAATGTCGTAAAGACATTTCTGTATTGAGGCAAAAACAAGACCCACGTGAACAGGTGCCATCCATTTAATGTTGACCCATTAAAGATATAGCAGTTTTCAAGTTTATTGTATTTGGATGAAAAGGAAGCAAGTAGCTGTCAAAGGGACCTATCTTACAAATAACTTCAAGCAAGAAAGAAAACCATACCTTCATATTCATGTCTTTCAAAGCTCTCATAGTGTCATATAGAAGACCCTTATGATCAGCACAGCGTATTTGAAGTAATGTATGAGCTGGGCTTATTGAATTGTCAAGCGTCACATTGGTTTTCCTCAATTTTCTCATATCTGAACTAAGAGCTTGAGAATATACTTCATCATCTGTCAGCTCACATCTAAATAGCTCCTCAGTCAACTCAGGGGGCAGAGAGGAGATACCTTGATTACATTCATACTCAGGACCAGCCAATTGAAGTTCACAGCTGATGCATGAGTCTTGCAGCACAGCTTGCAATCTTTTGCATGTCTCATCTTGTCGGTTTTTTGTGTGCATGAGTTCCCTAGAACAGATTAAACCAAGTGCTTATAACTAAAAGGAGCCAATATTCCACTCAAAATGAAACTTATTAAGGGAACTGCATTTAACGTTGATTATACTTAGTTGAGCCAAATCCCATGTGAGGTCAGCTAAATAACATATCCAAGATCATTCGTTAAGATCGGATAAATTGCTAGGCTTTTCATTTCTGTAGTTTATCTTAGAGCTGCCTAGTTGTGTAACTTGAGGCTAAGTTGGGTGGTCGCAAGAATGGAATATGAGTAAAACCGAACGAGGTCTCCAACATTACACATTAAGAATGAGCATGGGCACATTATTGATACTAGATAGGAAGCTACAAGGGAAACCAAAATGGCAGATACAGAAGGATAAGAAATAAATGTCCGAGGTCTGAACATTCGGCCAGTTGCATCATAGATCCATGAAATCCACCATTTAGCCCCAAAAGAAAGCATTCTTGTTATCACCAAAACCACAGGTGTTAGATAAAACGGCATACAAGAAACTCAAGAAAGCTTTGCGGAAGCAATATGTGGGGCAAAATCACTAATGATATGGAGATAAAGGCATAGAGATATTAGGGAAAGGCATGAAGTTCAAAGCATGCAATATCCATTACACTTGTTATCATTACTTGAAAAAAAGTATTTATTTCTTTCATTGTTTCCTACTCAGATGTACAAAAGATTTCACATCTGGCAAAATATATATATATTTTTTCATCCCATCTCATCCCATTTAGGTATCAAACTGGGCTTAAAGCAAATAGCCTAAAATTTGCTTTAGCAATTGGCCTACAACGGACTAAAGCAAGTGGCTTCTCATCCTCAAGTTAGTTCTAAACAAAAACAGGCCAATTCCATTAATTCATCAGGATCGTAACTAATCTGTCCAAGAAATTGTGCCTAAAAAAAAAAAAAAACGTAAAATTCCGCAAACACAGCCCCAAGACAAAGACTCACATGTTATCTGTTATGAAAAAGAGGTCCAAGACTCTGCCATCCGGAGTTGTTGTTACTTTCACCTTTTGAAGTGTAAGTTCTAGCTCGCAGAAGACTTGTGTAACATCTAACAAAAAAGAACAATATTGTCATCATACAGTCCGGTTTACACACAATATAAGAAATTTTTTCTATATAGCTTCTTTGTTACCGTGTAATAACCCTTTTCTATCAAGGCAACAAAACTTCAGTAGATAAACAGGGAAAGATCTTGTAGGTTGTTGGTTGAAGTAAAATGAGGCCAAACATGGCGGGCAAATTGCCTGAAGTCGGTCTTTCAGATTTGACCATCTCATACAAAGCAACGCAGAACGTGGAACCACCCACAACACGATATAGCACCATATGCCATCAGTTGAAACGTCTGAAGAATATGTCAGAAGAGCGGAATATAGTGTTAGTCAACTAGGCATACTATATAAGAAATGGAAGTCAGACTATCAAAACATTGTTTTGTGCAATATGTATTAAATGTTGCAGCAATTCATCAGTCCAAAGTGATATAATAGTAGCGGTAGTAATGGTAATAGCAATAAAAATAATACTTATTATTAAACCCAGTGGGAAATTTAGGTATTTCACATTCTAAATCGGCTATTGCTTGACATGCAGATATTTAAACTAGTCAATTATATGACCAATGAGCCTCCCTTTAGCGATAATAGTTATCAGCAAGGCTGAAGCATCTAAGGTCAAATCCCAGTGGGAAAAACAACAACAACAACAACAAGCCTTATCCCACTAGGTGGGGTCGGCTACATGAATCACACGACGTCATCGTGCTCTATCAACAACCCAGTCCTTAGATATGTTGTTGACTAGGAAGTCTCGTTCAATGACCTCATTAAGCGTTCTTCTCGGTCTTCCTCTACCCTTTTTTATGGGACTACATCTTGTCTGATCCACCCTTCTCACTGAGGCCTCTAATGGCCTTTTCTGCGCATGTCCAAATCATCTTAAGTGATTTTCAACCATTTTCAACCAGTGGGAACCAAATTAACCCAAAAAAGTTTCTCAGGTATTTATAAACCAATTATGAGATACAGGGAAAAGACCAAGATTCCCATCTTAGATATATGCTCCTGTTTTTATACTATAGGCTAAGAGTTTTAACAAGAAGATTTAACAGCATGTGTGGAATTAAGATGTCCAACCGCGAAACACAAAAGTATTTACAAGGGGCAAAAGTTTCCTAAGCTTCCAAATCAGTTGCGTCAGTTATGCAAAACGTGTTCATCGGAAAACATGTTTCAGGACGGGGACACCCACTCCTTGCTCATTGAGGACTGGCTCAGTTGATTTCATCTGAAAGCATAGCTCAGAGGAAGGTTTTAAAGATATGAAATCAATACCTTATGGCTAAATTATGTCGTCTCAATGCCTGTACATCTACAATGTAAGCTAAGGCAGAATATTATGCAAAATCTTCCTGAATGGCTCGAACCAGATAGTATAATTCTTAAAATCAGCTATAGTTGCAATCAGAGAATCCGACTCCCAAAGGAAGGATAAGAAAAGAAGAATCAAACAACAGAAAAGAAAAAAGGCTGATCAATAACTGTTTACCTCCTTTAGTAATGTACAGGCCAAATTCGAGAATAATCCGGCAAATATCACATCCTAGCCCTGTCTTGTCGGGGCAATTAACAGTGATCACGCAAGGTTCACCGGGGTTCCTCCCTTCCTGAATTTGAACGACGTCGTCATCACCCGGCACTCCCATGCCGGAGTAAGCCAGAAATGCCAAATTCCGATGGCGAAGCAAACGCGTCCACCTCACTAGAAACTCCCAGCGAAAAGTTTGCGCACCCGAGTCAAACCGATACGATTAAGATCTTACTTATTCCGGGTGGATAAATAATTCTAGAGAGCTAGTGGTTCATGTCCTGAGGCCAAGGAGGAAAAGAGCGCGGCAAGGCAGGTGTGTTGATATAGATGACCTGGCTCAGGGATCGTGAACTGCCACGTCATCCGTCGAGAAGGCGCTGTGATGAAACGCGCCGGTATAATGGTGGTCAGTCCACAGCATCGTTTGAGTTGTTTTTCAGGATGTGGCCAGCCCAATTGGCAGGAATACCATAAATCAATGGAAAATAGCACATAATAGACAGCTAGTTAAGATGATATGAGCCTGGGATAGAGAATTATGGGGGTGTTTTGGGTTATGGTTTGGAAAAAAATCACCCAAACACCTTTAAAAAAACCAAAACCATGGTTTTGAGTCAAAACTATGGTTTTGGGAAAAGCAAAAAATTTTTGCTTTTGAAAAAAAAAGAGAGTGTGAGAGCCTATAGGATATGTATCTTGTTGTTTTTTTTATAAACATATTTTTTTATAAATATATTTAATCTTATATCTTATAAATATATATACATATTAATTATTTATTAATTATATTATCCTATGTATTATTAATTATGTTAATAAAAAAAATATTATTAACAATTTTATTCCTTCAAATTAAAATCTATCATAAAATATATTTTTTCTGTAATTATCATATTAACTTATGCCTTTTTTAGTAATTTGTACATGTAAAAAGTGCTTCTGGTAACAACTATCTAGGGGGTGTTTGGATGAGGCAAAACCATGGTTTGCAGAATAGCTTCTGGAGAATAGATTTTGAAAGAATAGATTTTTTGGAAAAATGATTCTGATAAAGTGAGAGTGTTTGGATAATTATTGTCAGAAGTGCTTTTTGATATGTAGAAATTACTAAAAAGGACATAAATTTAAATGATAATTACATATAATATATATTCATAATATATGTTTATTTGAAGTAATAAATTTATTAATAATATATATTTTGACAACATAATAAATATGGCATAAATAATATAAATAATAAGAAATTAGTGTGTATATATATTAATAAAATAAATAAATATGTTTTTAGAAAAATGATTTATTTTGCCAAATAATTGTACCCCTTGAGCTAATGACTACCCCCGCGTGCTGAATGACTACCGCCCCCCCGCTGAATGACTACCCCCCTGTTCCTTCCGTGAGCTGCCTCAGAAGCTACGCCCCGCCAGCTTCTCTGAAACCAAGGTTTTGCCCAAAACCTTGGTTTTAAAAAAAATGGGGGTGTTTGGCAAATTTTTTGTCAAACCATGGTTTGGCAAAAAAGCCAAACACCCCCCTAAACACTCTCACTTCTCAGAATCATTTTTTCACAAAATCTATTCTTCAAAAAATCTATTTTCTCTAAAATCTATTCTCCAGAAGCTATTCTCCAAACCATGATTTGGTTATATCCAAACACCTCCTATATAGCATTATAGATTTGCATGGATCCCACCAAAAGGATGATTCTGGTGGTCCAACAATGTTCATCAAAGTGCGAGGGTTCAGATACGTCAACAATTTTGAATTGCCCTGTCCATGTAAATCTTTCTGCATCGTGGCGTCCACCGTTCTATCGGTGCAAGTTGGCACGAATTTGTATGTAATAAATAGTGAGCTCATGAGCTGCATCAAGATTTTTTTTTTGGGGAAAAAATGAACGTTTTTCACGCAACAAAGAGGAAGGTTCATATTTAATTTTTTTGCCAGCACATATTTAATTATGCATGATTGAGAGGTCAATTTAGATATACTAATTTATAAATTACAGAGGTTAATTGAACGCTGACTAATTTTCTTATAAAAAATATATGTTAATCAAAATATTTGCTCCTTGTTGCCATTTTTAATTGTCCTGATTTGTTTTTATTTCAAATACTATTCTCGATCTTTAATATAAAAGTTAGTTGACTAATTTGAATATATTAAAAAAATTTGTTAAACTAGTTATTTATAATAAATACGTGTTATTTTCTAAAATACCTTTACTAATTATGTGTATTAGATAGAACTATAATTTGATGAAACATTTAACATATATAATTACTACAAAGATTATTTTAAAATAAATAAATAAATATGAGAGACAAAATAAATTGAGATCTTATATTTACAACCAAATTAAATACTCTTATATTAAGGATTGAACCGTAATAGTTTAAATTATGGATTTATGTTTAATTTTTAGGACCAAGTCAGTTTTCTTGTGTGGCAAATTTTTGTATAACAGTAGAGGGAAAAAGAAAAAAGAGAATTACATTCAAATCCTATGTAAGAGAAATAACTACTAAAAGGTTTAATAACAACCTGAGTATAGCTGGGAATACGAGCCAGCTCATGGGTTGCGGGCCAATCCGCAGGTTATGCGGTGCGGGTTGGAGCAGGAAAAATCCAACCCTAACCCGCCATAGCGGGTTGGCGGGCCAACCTGTCAGCCTGCCATCTTTTTTTTTTTTAATTCTCAATTTTCAAAGCTCGTTTTTATTTAATTTTTTAAAATAATAAATGGTGATCTAAAAGTTTAAAAGCAATTACAAGTATAAATGATACTTAACCACATTTAAAATAGTCAATACAAATATAAAATAATACATTATAAATATTTTACATGACTAACATTCAACATCAACTTATCAAGTGATAAATTTTATAATTTTTTTCAAACAAATGCCATGTTTGATACAAAACACTATCTCTTAATAAATTAGAAGTGCATTTATCTTTTTTTTTTTTTAAGTTCATTTACCATGTTTTTCCAAAACACTTTTTTTCTGTAATAAATATTGTCTTATATTTGAGATTATTAAAGTTTTGCTATAAACAAAGTATGCTTATTTTTAAAAAGTATTTTTTTGTTTACATATGTATTATGTAACATGAAAATTGAAATGTAAATAAGAGAAAAACATTTTCAAATATAATAACATATTATTTATATGGAAAAAAAAAAAAGTGGCGGGTTAGACGGGCTAGCCCGTCACAGGTCGCGGGTTATACTGTGCGGGCTAACAAAATGCCAACCCTAACCCGCTCTTTTATGCTGGGTTGGCAGGTTGGCCCGCAGGCCCTAACCCATATTCTCGGTTTTAAACCTGAGTAACTTATAATGACAAATTTTAGAGCTTAAAAAAAAAAAACCTCTGAGACTTGTTTTGTAATTTTTTTTTCTTGCATGAGACCTTATTGTAATTCTTCCAAGAAAGAAAGAAGAAGGAGGCGCAGGTATGACAGAAGAAAAATTCACTTCGTAATGATATTTCTTCCCAAAAATTTGGACAGACAAGCAAACACATTATCAACTGAACAAGTTCATATTGGCCCTCCTGGTCCTCCTGCTTCTGGGTCATACGCTACCTGAACGCCATTAAATGGGAATAAACGGTAGGAAATACACCGAGTTTATTTATTCAATACGAACACCCGCAACTCGGCAAATTTGCTCACTGTAGTCAAGAATGTGAAATGCCTAAAGACTGATGATAATAGGCTTATCCCAATTGCTATCCAATATCCATATGGAACAAAACGAACTTTTATTAATTCTTTTTAGCAACTCCAAGCCTGAGACGGAAGTCCTCTTCCATTAAAGGAAGACCATCTCGCAGCTTGACCTTTGGCTCCCACCCTAACAATTCCTTTGCTTTTGTTATGTCCGGTTTTCTCTGTCGAGGATCATCCGGAGTGTTCTCCACCATCTTTATCTCCACACCTGGATTAATAAGCTGCAAAAACAACCCTAATGTATTAAATTACCTTCACATATTTCATCGAAAACTCCAAGCTATGGGGGAAAATGGGAGGCAAGTAGGGGTAGAATTCTATGAGGGTGTCTCTCCAATTTTCTTCCCATCTAAGCCGAAGACAATAGAACAAGATATAACGTAAATTGCATATAGGTGTAATAAAACTTCCTTTTACTATCAATGAAGATCTTAATCATAGAATGAGAAAAATAAAAGATTAAAATCAGATTTAGATGTAAATGACGGCTCACCTCCTTCACTGTCTCAGCAAGTTCAGTCATCGTAAATTCACCTGTAAAAATAAGATTTAAATTAGTAACTGTAGGAAAAAGCTATAACTTGCAAAGAGAATTCATGGTTGAAGTTTAACCTGGATTCCCAAGGTTGATTGGACCAGTGTTTTCTCCTTCCATTAGACGGATAAGGCCATCAACCTTAACAAATTACAAACACACGGCATCAGTTAGATCACTAATAATCAAAGTAGCAAAGCACAGATGAGAACTGTGGGGTTATATATATACCATATCAGAGACGTAGCAGAAGCTACGAGTTTGTGTTCCGGGAACTTGTACAGTCAGGGGCTCCTCACTATAACACACAAGATCATATGAGAGTGATAGGTAGGAAATCCATTTGGAAATGGGGACGATAACGTGACAAAATGAAAAGTTATGACGGTAAACTAAAATGAGGTGTTAGAATCAAATTTATAAGAGACATATAAAGTAATCAGAGTGCTAAAAAAAACACAAAATCTCACTTTAACAAAGATTTCTGTCATTTTTATCATATTGCACCCGTACTTTCTTTGAGATTGAAACAAGAAATACGCATAATTTATGAATTCTATCATCGTGAAGTTTAAGGAAATACCGCAGTGCTTGAGCAATGAAGTTGCTCACAACTCGCCCGTCATCAATATTCATGCGTGGTCCATATGTGTTGAAAATTCTGGCAATGCGTATTTCTGTGGAGTGAGACATCTCATTAAGTTAAAAACAAAAGAAAAATTGATTTGACACTACCCTTTGACATTGAGGAGTTACTCACAAGGAAAAGATGACCCCAAAAAATAAATAAATACCTATTCCATGCTGCCTATGATAATCGAACATCAAAGTTTCTGCCACACGCTTTCCCTCATCATAGCAACTCCGAACTCCTGTTATAGACATCTTTATGTTAACAGTATATCATTTTGGGCTTTGCGAAAACATATTCTTATACTTTCATCATTTTCCCACTTTTCTTGGCCATAATACTATCACCATGTTAATTATGAAATAATGGAAGGATAGTAATTGAGGACATAAGTCTAACATCACGAGTCAATTGCCAGTACCCCTACTTTAGATGCCACAGATGCAAAATTTGATAGAGATAAGCATGTACCAATAGGGTTCACATTGCCCCAGTAACTTTCTGGTTGTGGATGCACAAGAGGATCCCCATATACCTCTGAAGTAGATGTTAACAGAATCCTGTCAAGTGAAACTGCAACTGGTTACAACCAACTAATGATAGCATTCCGGATACTCGGTTAAACAAGAAGATAAAATTTATGCGCTATTCCAACCTTGCTCCCACTCTTTTTGCAAGTCCAAGCATGTTCAGTGTTCCTATCACATTTGTCTTTATAGTCTGTACAATTATTTATGTAAACGTGAGTCTCTCAAGGTTCACAAGACAGATATAGGATTCTTAACCAGTGACACACGAATAAAAGCTTGATATAACAGCATAACAATATACATGGGAACTGTATGTGAAATGGAGACACACTTCAGAGTCAGGACGGAGAAGGGGAAGAAAGGATATAAAAGGCATTGAAGCTAATTTTTTATACAGTTTACAAGAATATGTATACATAGTGAGCATATGATTAATGATGCAAAATACAAAAACAGTTTTTAAATATTCCGCACCTTCACGGGATTATATTTGTAGAAAATTGGCGAAGCAGGACAAGCAAGATGGTAGATCTGGTCAACCTCAATAAACAATTGCTCTGTCACATCTATAGAGGGAAAAATAAAAAAAGAAATACATATCAGTATACATGTAAACATATAAGAAGCCACGCCATTCATAAGCCATGAATAATGTGGTTTATCTCATAACTTGATGCAATATAAAGGTCCCATATCTGGTTATTGAATACAAAATCACGGTGCCAGCTGATCTTCAATAGTGACATGTTTAAAAAAAAAATGTTGAGATTTCAGTTAGTCTTATATAATCAACAATTTTCTAATGCTTTTTTTTTTTTGGGGTATCCTACGAATACCATTACTTAGGTAGAAAATATACCATGACGGATCAACTCAAATCTAGGATGACCAATCCATTTTCTAAGGTTATCCTTGGATCCCGTGAAGAAGTTGTCAGCAACAATAACCTAATTAGACAAAGAGCCTGTCATGTGTTGCATAAAAATTTTATTGCTGCTAAGAAACTAAAAGATCCCGTCTGTTCAGAGCCATCAATTCAACACTGAACTTGATAACCATGTCCAGAAGGATATCAGGCATACTAACCTCATTTTTCTCATTATGCATTAATCTGTCAACTAAGTGAGAGCCAATGAATCCAGCTCCTCCAGTAACCAGAATTCTCATGTTGGGCTGTCGTCAAGAATCAGAAATATTGGTAAAAACAAGAAATCATTATAACAAATCAGAATGGCAATGTGACACCAATAGGCAACTAGGCAGCTCACCTGAAAGAACTTGGAAAAGCGCAAGGGAGAAGGCAAAGGAGGTGGCTTTGTTTTCAGTGTTGTCGTTGTTTCCGGTCGGTGCTCTCCATTAGAAGAATTTGTTGCCATTCTCAAAGCTTCTGAAATTTAATCCTGCACACAAGCATTGGATGGGCAATTAAATTTTATTTCAATATCAAATCAAGAAGATCCATAGCAAATGGCTGGGAAGCTAGAGACAAAAAAGAACCGGAATTGAACCTGATTGCTAAACTTACACAGAAACCAAACCAGAATCCTAAACCACAGCTCAGTCCTGACTTCAGATTTAAACAATCCACAATCAGACGTCCATTTTATAGAAGAAAATAGATCGGGAAATTGAGGATTCTCCCACCAAAAGCTAAATTGGATGATAAAGAAAAAAGAAAAATAATTAAATTCCGGAGCCTTCGAACTCACGGAAAGTTGAAGGCCATCATGAAAGCTCCTAGGCAACGGCAGCTGTGACAAAACAGGGATCGCACCAAACTACCAAAAAGAAAACACGCTTAAAAAAAAAAAAAAAGGACTTGAAAGTCTTACCAACTGGGCAAAGGAAATGTACACAAAGACAATACAGGGTATTCGTAAGGGGGTGGGGGTGGTACGGGACTTCAAGTGAGAGGCAGATTTCAGAGAGCAGTAAGGATGGGTAAGGAAGGACAATCAGCATCCATGTAAGGCTGACGACTGTGTGCTTGAGGCCAGGGAACTCGCAGAATGCGAGTGCTGCATGAGCTGTCTACACAAGATTACGTATTTCGAAGGTGCCCGGCGCGCCGGATAAATAAATAAACTAATTATTTCTAAGGGCCTCGCGTGACATGAAGGTGAACGTGGCGACGCCATCGACACCTGTCTTAATTCTTAAATTTAACGCAAGCCGTGGATCTGAGATCGTCCTTGGTCCATGCGGTTTTAAATATAAAAATTAATTTAATTTTTAATTTGATTTTAAATGTAAAGTTTTAATTCACTTTGTCTTTCATATTTATTTATTTTTTTCTCAACTAATTTTTATGATAGTTTTATATGTTAAGAAGTTTTTATTAATTTGTAATTCAAACAAGTATAATTAATAAGAACATTTTAATAAAATATCTTTTTATTACAAATAAGTAATCTAATTTATTTTTTTAAAATTTATTAATTAGGTTTTATATTAAAGATATGAAGTAGTAATGTATATCTTGGGGCCCTTGCTTTGAGTGAATGAATTTAGGAATAACAACCCAGTTACTCAATTATCATCCCGCCAAAAATAAAAAAAAAGCATGAGTTCCTTTGAAAAAAATTGTCATGTGCAGTAATAGATTATATATGTAATATTCATTGTCCATGCATGATATTATGAGTTCGGATGGTCCCCTGCTGCTGCAGGAGAGAGCAGGAGAGAGTCTCATCGCATGATAGGCTCGGGGCGAGGGGCGTTGACGTAAGCCACAAGGCTTGGCTTTGTCGGTGGTTGGTGTCTTGAGTACAAAGGGGTTTTGTTGGTTTGGAACTTTGGATTAATTTTAGCTTTACAGTGGCTGAGGATGTGTGGGGTTAGGCTTAGGCTTTATAAAGAGAAGCACAGTAGAAGGCAAGCGTAGTTTGCACATGCATGGCCATAGACTGGACTGGATCAGACTACGGTTAATGGACTAGCTACTCGTAGTTATTGATTTATTCATGAATGAAATGGATTTGGTAAATAGTGCTTTTCGGACATCCCTTGTTCAGTCGTTCATTTAGCACCAAGATGTTACTGTCTATTGTGTTGGATTTTGGCGGCGCAGAGAGAGAGAGAGAGAGAGAGAGAGTTACGGTTACCCCGTAGGCTTTCTGTCAAGATCAAGAAAACTGGGCTTCATCCTCCATTCGTGGATAAAGAATAAGAAAGCTCAGAACTTCTATTGGCTACCATACCTTTAGAGGATTTGAGCTTTGAATCTGCCTAAATAAGTCAAATCTAGAATAAGAAATTTTCACATTGATCCATGACATTAAGCGGTGATTGCGGGATTCTTGGATTAGATCAATTAAAAAAAGCCGTGTCATTGTTTTCCCGGAAAGAAAAGCACAGCGAGCGCCACTAAATCATGACCATTAATTAAAAAGTTTCTAATGCTTCTCAAAGAATATTTGGTTTGGTTAAAAAAGTTTGAGAACTAGCCTAAAAGAAACAGGTTTTTGATGACTAGTAAATTGAGAAAAGAATATTGTTTAAAGACAATTATAAATTATCTTTAAAGCTTTTTCAGAAGACAATTATAAATTATAAATTATCTTTAAAGGATGATATTAAAAAACAAAAAAACTCTTTGAAGTGCATTTTCATTTTCCTTGATCAAGCATGCTGCACTTGCATGACCATAAATAATGGGGTCCTACGGAACAGAGGAGTGTAAACAAACCAGATCTCTTCAACATGGTATGTATGTTTCTCCAACAGAGAAGTGCAGGTTTATCTGTTTCTTTAAACAAATCAGATGCACTGAACGACGTGTCTGATATGATGATTCCGATAACATTTAAATACAAGAACGGGAAGTCGAAAAGCAATATTGCTGTGTTAAGGTCAGTGGGCGTTCCGTCAATGCATCTGCATCATGCCACTTTTTTGACGCACATAACGACTACTTCATTTCCCCGCAAGACTGCTGCGTCTCTAACCCAAAACGTTATGGTACATGAGACCAGCCACATCTGAAAACTACTGAAGAGAGCAGGGCACTGGCGCTACTTCGTGACTTTATCTATCCGTTTTTCCACAGCGTAAAGGCTCTAATATAACCTCAAATAAAAATACAAAATTTCGAACAACAATTTGAGAATCATCCGTTTTGCGCAGACAGGAATCTACAGAACTTAATTAAACACTCATTAAAACTTATTGTAAGGACAAGGATAACAGCACGTCCTGATTCAAGAAAACAAAAGGAAAGAAAGCACACTCGTCCTACTAGGTTTCCCCAAAAAGCATTCACCTACGAGTAAAACTTAAGTTGGCAGGTCTTACATCATAAGGGCAAATTACGACTACTAGGATCAAATAATCCAGCACTAAAAGCAATGAAAACCCAAAATATGAGAACGGTTATGATAGCAGTTCTCAACAAGTGAACATAATTACCGAGTAGGTGGCCATCTAATTCAAGGGATGGATGTGACGATGGAGAATCCTCGTTGTCACTAATGTCAGCTTCGCTGTCGATCCCGCTGCTGGTCCCAGTTGCATAAGGTAGCCGCATATCCCTCCTGCCAGATTTAAAACATTTCATGCAAGTGCAGCTACCTCCAAGATATGATGGCAGTGTCGGTAGAAAGTCACAAAGAACCTTCTGATACATCTCTCCTTCTATTTTCAACTTCTTCCTGGTAATTGGCTTCAAAACCTTCAGCCAAAGAACAGGGGGGGGGAAAAAAAAACAATTCAAATCCTATGGTTCAGATGCTCATGTTAGATCAAATCAAAATCAGCATAAATAAATCATCCAAAGGACGTAAAATGCAATTGCTGATAACAACATGCAGACATGCAGATAAGCAATTAATCATAAGGGAAGCTTGACACTACTATCGTTGGGCTGCATTATATTAAAGAGGTCAATACTGTCACACCAGAGATTGTCAAGGAAGATAGGAAAATCCGTTTCTCAATCATAAAACTCTCATCAATGCCATCGCTTGCTTATACTTCACAACCGACCTCAACCACATCCAAAAGAAGGGCCATTTTGAAGCACTTCTCTTCCTGCGTTCTTTGCCATTATAAGCCAAATAAATTCGATAGTAACGTTTACCTGAATAAAAGTCTGGGCAACAACACGAACAACTGCTGGAAGTCGTATGACAAGCAAACAACCAAGAAGGTTAGGAAAGTGATCTTGCAGAAGGGAAGAACAAGATCTCATCATTTGCATGGGAATTCTCAACGGAGATAACCCTTCACAGTCCACCAATACTGTAATTTGAGGGTTGTCTGCATCAATCAAGTGCAAGACTCCATATTCTACCTGTGATACTGCAGCAACAACCATGAATGTTATTTAAACATAGCAAGCGATAAGACTATGGAACTAGATATGTTTGATAGAAAATCAAATGAGAAAGGAAAAATATTACTGCACAAAACACAGCATATTTAGGAACTAAAGGTAAGAAAAACATACTGACTGCCTGAGCAAATCGAGGTTTATCTTGTGATACCAAAGTTCTGCAAGCAATGCCAAGCCTGACAATGAGGCAAGGTCGGTTCATCACGTCAGAACCATGCCAAAACACCAAATCTGACCACATTTCGAGCTCTTCTCCTGAAAGAATTCTGTAAGTTTCCCTCCAGCGAACTGTTTTCTTGACAGAGGCAAGGAAGCTTGAAAAGTCATTGTTCGAAGCTGTATAAAACCTCCGGAGCTCATGCTCATTAATTCTGCATAAATACTACCAAATCACGGTCGCTGCCGTAGAAGCCAAAAAAACCAAGAAACGTGCAAGTAAATGCGTTATTGCTAACTTCTAAGCAGCTCCTCGCAAGGATTTCAGAATTTGCCAGAAGAAACACACCTTACAATTTTAAGAATATCCAGTAACACAATCTACTAGGAAATTTTTTCATATCATTATAAGCACAACAGAGTATCTTCTGAAATGGTTCTGTGAACGCCTGGTGGTTATGAATACCTTTCTGACAAAGTGATCCCTTGATTTTCCAGTTCTTTGTAGAGTTGAATCAACCACTTTTCAGATTCTACAATTTGAGGAGCTGTCTCGCAATGACTGCAAAATGCATTGAAAATAGGAGCTTGCAAGCATAACATGTATAAGCAAGAATACATCCAGGTTAGATTGTGGTAGGAGTAAATATCTAAATTATACTGTTCAGATACATGGTGCAACAGATATCAATATCCTACATTACTTTTGGAGAAAGCCGTAGCCCCCTAGCAAAGTAGATCACATCCCTTAAGGTTTAATGGATCTTTTGAAAGGTCTAAAATCTCGGGAGTTTACAATGATTTTGAATGTCTAAAAAATATATAACGAGAAAGAAAAGGGCTCAGTTAGACTGTAAAAACACATAGGCAGTACCATCAAGTTTCAATAAAATCACCAACCTTCTACAGATTTTTAACCAATCTCAAGTTACGGAAACTATTTCGGTGTCTTCCAGTCAAAATCACTTTACTTTGCACCAAATTTTGCGGATGGATTACCATACTCGCAGACCAGTAACTTACGCCCAAATAGTCATCTGATTCTCAGAAACAGTCATCTCTGATGGCAGTATTTCACAAAAATGCTGCCAGTCATAATTTAGTAACAATCGAGCCGAATAATTTTGCGCATCACAAAACATTCTCAACAGGTACTCGAATGAAATGACTGGAAATTGGGGACCTAAACTAAAACTGAACAAAAAAGATTGAAAATACTATAACCTAACTAATTGAAGCCGTCAAGGTGGAAAAGTATTATTTTTTTCATTTTCAGAACGTACATGCAATAATTCGTTTATGAATTAATCTAAATCAGGAGGAATGAGACGCATCAAACATATTCATTAACAACTTCGCCTACCTTGTCTGTGAAGTAGCCTGCACTGAAGATGATTCTGAGCATACTTCTAAATCAGGGGAATCAGTATGACAATCTGTCGCTCCATCACTACATTCTGATTGATCATTGAAAGCCGTCGCAATTGAAAGAACTAGTAAAGGCCTCGATAGGATCTTGTAGCAAAGAAATCTATTAGCTATTGACTCATAAATATAACCCCACTTAGGATGCCAGGGAAAGGAAAAGACCAAAAAAATAGCAAATAAATAAAGACATCCACCTTATAAAAAAAAGGCAAAAGGGGGGAGGGGTAATTATAGCATACTATAGCAATGATTTCAGATCATACTATCTCCTGTTGCATCTCTACTGATATTGCAAGATGCTAAATATGCTGGTGCTTATGTGATTGTAGAAGAAGCCATCCAAGAAAAGCAAAACTTTTTTAAAACCAAGCTCTATTGTGTACCTAAAGCTTTTTCCAAACATCATGAGAACTTCAAAAATCTGTAATTACAAACCTGCATGCTTTTGACCAAACTTTTGAAGGGTGCCCATCTCTGAATCCATTTGAATGGTGGATAACAAAGGATTTGTAAAGCCTGAATGCTTCTCCATACAATTGGACACCTGTTTTTTGAGAACCTCCTTACAGACTCTAACGCAGCAACTTTAAGTAAGAAAAAGGTCAAATGACCCACACTACTACTTCCAAAAACACCATGGGTCAACGAAACAAGCTGTTCATAGTTTTTCTGGGCAAAACTTTTAGGGCGAGACGCAACTAGCGATTGGTTATATGCTTTTTTTCCAGTGACGAGATTGCCTGTCTTAGAATTCTTACTTGAGTTAGAGTAACTCAACGTGTCTCCCATTTATACCGCGTGAATGAGACGTTCCCTGCCAAGCAGCACAACAAAAGTATGTTTTCAAATTCAAGAAATTATAGCAGATAAGATTATATTGCAGTGACATCTATCCATCATCAAGAATAAATTTAACTATTATACGGTACAACTGAAGCTGAGAGAGCTGGATTATGAGAAGTGACTAAACGAGTGAACAGTAATATTAATAACAGCAAGTAACCCGAGATCAATATGCTGTCTCTACAATGTAGAAAGCTCACATAATTGTAGTTTCAACTACTTCCAAATGAGCTGTGCAAACATGGGCGCAGATGCAACGCTGCGAAAAAGCAAAAAAGCATCCACGCCTGAAAATAATCACCTCAAAGCCTCTGTGCAGAAATAAAGCCGATCAAGATGACATCGTTTCATCCCCCTAAGTAACAAACGAAATAATTATGAACTTGCTGTCTTGAAAATCCTAAGTTGTCACTGAGACGGCAATTTATTGTGAAATAATTCAATTCAAATAAATATTGTAATCCAGGAGAAAATGCTGTCAATTGTGAATACGTAGCTAGCAGGATTTCATAATTTAGAGAGGCCTGTAGGTATGAGCACGAAAATGGCAAAATTATTCTGAGTAGTTGCTAAAAACTCCGATTAACATAAAAACCAATTTATCCGGATAAACAGAAAACAAGGCGTTGAAAGCTTTCAAAGCATCACCTGAAAGATTATTTCAACTTAGGGTGTCAGCAACTCAGCATTAGGGGGCAACAAAGACAACAGAAAGGTCAGACGGAAGCTATAGAGCAGATCAGATCAGACAGCTTTTCTCGAACAATGGATCAGTGTTAGACCTCACAGAAATTGCGAGAACAATTAGGACCCCGAGCAATTATCAACCATCCGGAGCTCCCTGCACCTGTCAAACGCGTTCGGTGGAAATTGGCGCACATTTTGTGAATGTCCCATGCGCAGTATGAATTCGCGCGTTGATTCGTTTATTTATTAATATTATATTTGGGGGTATCATCCTCTGCTGTCCCTTTACAGCATCGCAAAACAGCCGCTGATCAGAACAGATGTTAGAATTATGAATTATTTTTTTTACATTTTATGTTAAGATAGTGCCGTGCTATCCAACAGAAGAATTTATTTACATTTTTTCTCCACTTGGATAATTAGTTTTTTTTTCTTATTTTGTTATACATCCTTGGATAAGTTTTATAATTCATATAGTTTCCTTTCCTCAGAAAAAAATGATAGAATCAACGATAGAGGGTCTTTTGATTCTAATAAAAGCATTTTTAAAAAATAATTTCATAAAAATTGAGATAAAATTTTCTTATGTAATTATTTTGTATATCATAAAATTATTTTTAAAATCATACCTTTTTATAAATAGTGTATAATATGGACAATAAGTTATTCGCTTATCCAACCCAATAATTATTTTCGGCCAACAAATGTAAAGGGCTGATCCGCTCTGTTGTGATCTGAACAGCAGAACATGGGCTCGCCCCGCGTTGTTTTCCAGGGCCGTGAACGGATGGTGTTTGTGTATTATTGAAAGTTAATGCATTTCGTGCCATTTGTGAAATTATATTGACAAACTGCTTAATTATTAATGTGACGTGACCGCTTGAGTGGATTTATTTATTTCTCTGCATTTCAAATTTTGTGATTCATTTATACTTTGACAGAAATAAAGCAAGATTTTGATGGATATGGTACCGTATGTTACACTGGGCCGGTAACTAGTTTGAATATCGGGAGAAAATCGAAATGAATGAGTATAATCATAAATTAATGAGCCGAGATAAACGTGCTTGAATTAAGGAGTGATATGTTTGTTAAAAGGGGATTTAACTTGTCAGTAGAGACAATAAAAATCGAATCTTAAAAATAAATTAGAGTCTATATATGGAATATAGTTTTTAATTTCAGGAGAGATCTCTGTAAATTTCTTGAAATAGTGAATAGATGTATTCATGAGCCCGAGGGATATAATGCGGGAGGGAGGAGGAGTGGACACGAAGGAAAATATATGCATGCAGTCCACGTGTACAACCCAGGAAAAAGTGCCACGCACGCAGACGTTTGAGCATACGTGGATGATCCCAAGCAAGAAGGATTAAAACGGGAAGCTGCGAGAAGAAACCGGCAAAACAATCCATCAATGGCATCGAATCTCAGGTCGGCGTATGGGTACACCGTCGTTTACGTACAAGACGTATCCAAGTCGGTGGCTTTTTATGCCGATGCATTCGGCTGCGACGTTCGCTGCGTGCACGAATCAAACAGGTACCGCCTATTCAAATCCAAACCCTTGTCAGATCATTTTGAATTAGCATGCGATGTTGTGTGTGTGTGTGTGTGTATGTATATGTATACATGGAATCGCCAAATAATAATATGAACAAGAATAGGTCAGATGGGGAGAGTTAGACAGCGGGCAGACCACGATTGCTTTCACTCCGATGCACCAGCACGAGACGGATGATCTGACCGGAAAGGTCCAAGCACCTCGATCCAATCGAGAAAGACAGCCGGTCGAGGTTTGTTTTGTTTATGACGACGTGGATGCTGCCTACGAGGTACAATTAGATTATGTGCGCGGTTTTGAAATAATACCTCGAATCATGCATGATGACAATGACGCTGGTTTTGATTGGAACAGAGGGCGATAGAGAAAGGAGCAGTGGGAATAAGGGAGCCAGAGGAAAAGGAGTGGGGCCAGAAGGTTGGGTACGTCAGAGATATTGACGGCATAGTGGTGAGGATGGGAGGCCGAGTGAATCCACCCGGCAAACGTTAGTCCCACTGATCATCTTCAACTTCCAATCTGGTGTTTCATGAGGCTGCATATGCGTTGCCCTATGTTCCAACTGTTTTCCGGTTAATAATGCAAAGACTACAATAAATGTCTTCAGTGTAACTTCACTTTTCAGTTAATCTTTTTTTTTTTTTTTTGCCATAAGTTATCGTGTCATTATAAAGGATGCATTTGAATAATTTGATTCATCAGCAGATGCTAGACGCATAACATCGTCCTAGGCGCGCGCGCATGCATACATCCATTTATATATATATATATATATATATATATATATATATATTTACAGTTTTTTTTTTGGGGTACAAAAATGTTATTTACATTTTAACAATTGGGATGGATTATGGATATGTTGGCAAGTGACTGCTTTTATTTACCACTTTACCGTGTCTGGTTTATAAGTTCCGGCTTTAATTTAATCGTTTTGCAAAGGGGAAAAGAAAAAGAATGTAGCTTTAATTTTCCGCCTTAATCTGCTTGTTACGCAGCTTCATCCCCCAATTTTTAGTTACCATTATTTTAAAAATAATCTCGTACAATTATTGCCTTAAAACATGGTCTTCATAAAGACATAAACATTAAGAATTTTTACACACTTCAGTACAAACTATAAAAGGCTTGTAAGGAATTAAATAATTCTATTTTAAATCGAAATTAAAATTTGCCTTCGCATTTAAATTTTTTGGAAATATCACGTTAAAAATTGAAATTTATAACTTATAATCCTCCAATAAAAATATCTTCTACAAACCGGATTTCATTTTCCTCTAACCGCGATAGTAAAAGTAGGGGTGCGCATCAAGCCCAAATACCCGCTAAGCTCGTCCAAGCCTGAAGAAAAATTACCCAGCCCAGCCCAAAAAAAAAAGAGCCCAAAAAAGAATGAGTATCTTTGGGTTGGGCATTTTATGGGTAGGGCTGGGCATCGGGCAGGACATGTTGTCCTGTCTATTTGGCCCTGCCCAGATTATATTTATATATATTATAATTTATAAAATAATATTAATATATTACATTTCTTTACCTAAAAAAAATTATTCCCTCCTCTTTGCAATTTAATTTATTATTGTTATATGCCTGTTAGTTTTCCATCTTAGGGATCTAATTTTTCTAAAACAGCAATAGTATCTTGCTTTTAACTTTTTTATGAGCTTTATTGAGTACATCCTATTGTGTGTTGCTGTTGTAATGTTGGTTATTTATAAGCCCATCTTCCCTTATATGTCATTAACAACTTTCTTTGTTAGAGAATGGAGTTTAGGGTTTAATTATCTGAATTATATGTTTTATTTTTTTATTTAATTTATATTTAGTTATTTTGTATTAATTTTGTATGAAAAATCATATGATGGAAAGAAGTTTTTTAGTTGTATGGACTACTAACTACATTGTATCACATAATAAGTGTTTGCATATTAAAAGTGATTATATTAAACTATTATAAGATTTTAAGATTTTTTATTTATCTTTTTACAATTATTTCACCATATTTTTATATGGTCTGTATTATTTCTTTTAACCCATTGCTTCAATTTTAATATCTTTTTACAATCATTTAAGTAACATTTAATTTTTGCCACTTGAATGGATAATTAAGCTTCTGTTACATCGTCATCTCCAATCCTCAATAGAATATCTCAATATGCTTCAACCCCTCTTTAATTTTTTCAAATGTTTTATTCTTTTCTCAACTTTATGAGATTGATGCAAACCATTTGAATTTCAAGGCTTTAATTACAATCTTGAGAGTTGTTTTGTTCTAAATAGATTATGAATATTATTTATTTAGATATTTGCTAAGACTTGTTTTAAATTATTTCTGGATAATTTCAATGTGCAAAAATGTAAAATTATGAAATGTAATTTTCAGTTATGAACGAAATTTTTTTACATGTAATATCGGCAAGTCATCACTATTTGGGCAACGAAACCCGCTCTGCCCAGCCCAAAATGGTTAGGGTTTCTATGGGTAAGGCTGGACAGCGGGCTGCAAAATGCAGCCCGTTCATATTTCGGGCCGGGCATCGGGTAGAGAGTCCTGTCCTGCCCAGCACTGCTCATGTACACCCCTAAATAAAAGAACGCAGAAATCTTTGGGTTGAGCTGGAAGGCGAAAGGACAAAATCACAAGGGGCGCAGCATAACATGCACGGTCCCAGTGTTCAGAGAAAGACTAATGCTGTCACTCAAATTTTATCAGTAAGGTTATGCAAATGAACAAAGAAATTTTCCAATTGACTAGTAAACAAACATTAGCCAAAAACATTTAGATTTTAGACTGGAGTTGGCTTTTGCAAATCATGAAAAGAGGCCCTGCAGAGCAGAAACAAAACGGAACTGAAGAATAGATGACTTCCTATAGCAATTCCACATGGATCAAAGTAGCCGGTGATCCATGACAAATGGCGTTATACATGTCTCCCAGTTCACTTAAGCAGGATGAGCTTGGCCCATAAGTCATAGCATTTCTTGTGACTTCCTCACGCAGCGGCTCACCTTTTTCTTGAAATCATCTCTCTTATCCCTCCACTCTTTCTGCAATAACACCACACCAACGAAAATTCAGAATCTCTACATGGAAGCATTGTAACACCAGAAAAGTGTGTCGCTAGAAAAGCATGACTTCTCCAAGAAAAGAAATTGTGCCTTTGGTTAGGCATGAGACTAAGCTCGCGTTTCTCTGGACAAGTGACTAAGTTCAGACCTTTCGCTTTTAAGTTGAATAAAAATCCTCCTTGGTCAAAAAGGACCATGACAATGACAACAACAACAATGACCCTTATCGTCAAGAGTGTGCCTCATATACAAGGATAGAAGTAATATAAGAATGAACAATGCCTGTAGTTAACTCACAGATACTCATGCGAGTGTTTGTGGTTCCCAAAATACAACTGAGACAAAATACATCTAGGATGCAAAACATAAGCACTACATAAGTTTTTTTCCTCCGTTCCCTCCCTTTTTCTTTCTTTCTTTTTTTTTTTTTTGGGAGGGGGTGTCTGAGTGGGGATGTGCGGAGTATAATAACGTAAACAAGAGAAATTGTCAACTCACCGCAGCTTCGACATTTGCAGGAGACTCATCATTAGGACTAGAAAGCATTGATATGATACTCAATACTATACTCTCTACCTGCAAAACAGCAATATCATAGTTACTAGTGCATAGGTCATCAATAGCTTTACAAGTCATATCATAGGTAACACAATTCAGATGTTGAGGACAAGCAGTCGCACCCCGTTCACCAAAGACGTCCAAGCAGGGTTATTAACGGAAAACAAGCATGTTCGCTATTTTGATCAGATCCAGTGATTTTGTAAAGCAATGGATTTGACATTACACTTCTTCACACTACAACTTTCAAGCCATTACAAACGTGCAAGAACTGAAGCTACTTAGGAGCCTTTCCGTTTAACTATAATTTCAGAGACCACTAAAAATGATAATCATAAAAGTTTTATCAAAGATAAGGGTTAGCATATTCAACTTCCAATATCTAGTTGACCAATATCATCTTCCTTTGGAGTTGCATATTGCAGAGAGTTTGAATTGAACACTGAATATGCACATAATGTCCACAACCAAACCACATGATTAAAAACCAGTATAAAAAATCGTATCATATGATTTGCTTCAGCACACATTTGCACATTACAATATTGTAACATAATCATTAAACAAGAGTATGCTAAAGGTGTCAGATTAAACAGCAGCAATCTCAAATTTCTAGCACCAAACGGACTCGGTCACAGACTCAGAGCACTGAAGCCAAGGTAGCAATTTAAGAATGAAAGAAGAAGTTCTCGCATTGAAGGGAAAAAAATAAGATGATGGTTGCATATTTTGACATACCGTATGAACAGGCATCCAGCGCTCACTTGCAAGCTCATAACCATTGGGATCATCACCTGGAGGATGAAGAATTGATATGCAAACCCGACCATCAGGATATACTGCACATGATAAGCAGCACAAGTTAGTTTCATGTTACGTTTAACAGAGCAACATTACAAGTTAGGGAAAACAACCATTGGGATGCCAGATTTCTGATGTGAATTTCACTGTCGGCGGACTATTTGGGTAATTGGATGGGAAACTCATGATCGCGTTGAAAAATCCTCCCTCACTATGAGAAATTCAGATAATAAACATAAAACAGAACGGTTGTCAGTAAAACTCAAGCAGTACACTAACATGGAAATAATAGTAATAAAAATATTAATGAGCAGAACTGTTATAAATATGGAAACTTCAGATAGTAATTAATATCCCACTATAATGGATCTAAAACAAAAGTAGCTCCCACAATATAGAGAATTTAAACCAACCACTGGACAAATCTCAAGAATTTGCAACACACTTGATAACTTGGATAAGTGTCAAAATAGGAACCTAGAAATTGCATTATATGCAATATAATCTATTTTCCATTTATCATATCTCCCAAAATCATTCTTCATTATTCTTTCTTTCAATTCAAATTCAAAGGGTCACACGATGTTCACACGATGGATAAGTAAAAGCTTCAATAATGCCCACTTCTTTTTCCCGTTTTTCTCTGAACTCTCAGCAATGATACAGAGAAACTAAAACAAGGGCTCATATTATCATCAATCTGTCGAATTCATGGCAGACACGCAACAATGTCATTAAATTACCAATCATCAAAAACCGAAGCATAACTAGGAGATTTTCCAGAAACCCGGCTCTAGCCCTAGGAGTTGCATTATATGCAATATAATCCAATTTCCATTATTCATGTCTCCCAATATCATTCTTTATTATTCTTTCTTTCAACTCTAATATGCAATATAATCTATTTCCCATTATTCATGTCTCCCAACATCATTCTTTATTATTCTTTCTTTCAACTCTAATTCAAAGGATCGCTTGATGGATTAGTAAAAGCTTCAACGGTGCCCGCTTTTTCTTCTGTTTTCTCTTAATTCTCAAGAATGATATCGAGCAACAAAAACAGGGGCTCATATTCTGATCAGTTCGATGAATTCACCATGTTAGGGCAGACGAGCAACAATCTCATTAATTCCAAGGTATTAGCAATCACGAAAAAAAGAAGGACTTTAAACGACTTAATTAGGTGACCCTGGGGAACCCTCAACCCCATAAGCGCCCGCAATCAAAGAATTTTTAAAGCATATATACATAAAGCAAATCTAAAATTCCAAATAGCAATCGTGAATCGGATTACTTTTTGCGGTGAAAAGTAAAAGAAATACGATATGAACTTACTAGAGAGTATCCGGGGGTCCAATTATCGTCACACTCCATTCAAAAACGTTGTTTTCATCAACCAAACCTGCGGAGAACCCATCAACCGGATTCTTGCAAAGATCTGCAATCAAGAGAAGGAAAAGCCAATCACAACATCGCGGAAAATCCACGCGAAACCCTTTGCGACTGCCGGCAAATCAAAAGGCCACAAAGGCAGAGAGCATCAAAGAGAGGACTTTTAAGTGACCCCTCACCTTTGAGTTGCTTCTGAAGGAGGAGGCTTGCTTGAGACGCCATCAATAAACAGGGATGGGACCAAGAGCTCCAGCAATCGAAATTTGAGAGCTGAGGAGTGAGAGCTCTGAGATTTTGAAGAAAAAGGAGAAATCAAAGAGAGTCACGCAAAGCCGACACTTCGATTATTTATAGAGAGACGGTTCCGAATGGCGAATGCGGCGTTGGGCGACTGCCAATTCCAGTCACTGGGAAAAATATAAAAACTCTGCGGCGAACGTTATTGCCGTATTGGCGTGGGGATTTTTGCGGATATGTTAGGGCCTTAAAAATAAATAAGCAAGCATACCTGTTGCACGGGGTGCTGATTTTTTTATGATTTGTACAATGAATTAAAAAAAAAAAGTACAGTGAATTATACGAATAAGCAATTTATTTTTATTATTATTCTCTAAATTTCATCAATGTTTTCTTGGGATAGAAGTTAAGCATGGTATAAATTTTATTTTAAAGATTTGTGCAATTAACGTCATGACTATGGATGCAGGTGGCTCTATTTTTCTATGAAAATAAGTCAAGATTGTTTATTTATCTTTTTTTTTCAATGACATGTAATCTATTTTTTTGACCAGATGACATGTAACCTATTCATCTTATATGCCGTATCCACATTAGATCCAAGATGAATAACTTTGGGCAAAATCGTATGTTAAATATTTTTATTAGAGTTATCTTCTTTTTCTTTTTCTTTTTTGGTCCAAAGTATCCTCCTATTCAAACAGTAAGAAACTAATTTTTCAAAATACCCTTAGGTGTTGTAACTAGAACGCTTCTCAATAATATTTTTCCTCATATACACCACTTTAAAGATTGAACCTGAAATATGATACTTAAAGTGCTCCAAGTCCTTTCACTTGGGTCAAGATTTGTTGGTTATTAGAGTTATCTGATTCTATCTAATCAACAACTTTGGGGGGAAAAAAGCATTGTGTGGTTTGGGCTGATATTGATTGTTTTATTGTTTTCATAAACTGGACAGAGTGATCCCATAGTTGGTGGGTCAAAAGCGGGAGGTGTTAAGCCTGGTTAGCAGATTGAGCCATTGGGTTTTACTAAAGGCATATAGTGGGAGGGCTCAATAGGGCATTATGTAACAGGCACCGCAAAACTTCTAAGAGTATTAATGATGTCGTCTGTTGTGGCCCAGTTAAATGGGGGCCTTTAGGGGATGGGTCTGGTTCCTAGCCAGGTTCACCAGGCGGGGTCTTGCTCTGCTGATATTATTAATACTATCAGCATCAGGTGCTGGTTCATGATATGACCCAGAAAAGAAGGCCAAGCTAATAATTCCTTGAGATCAGTAAGCTTTTATTTTTCTGTTCCAAAAGGAAAAATGAAGGGAGACCAATAATTGCTTCATTACCTCTCCCTTTTACATCCACAAAGCCCTGTTCCTTCGAAACGCGTCTCCCTCTCACCAACTTCATGCTTCAATAATCCTTGAAAGCTTTTTGGTTTTTTGGACCATGCATAGATATATATACTCGCTTTCCTCCCCCCCCCCCCCGGGAGGAATATGGCTTTTCAACTTTGACCCTAGCTACTAAGCTTCCAAAAAGAACATTCACGCGCATCCAATCGTAGCAGACGAAGAAGGAAGGCATGCATGAACAGTGATCATATCCCATTGTGAAGTTAACGCCGAAAACCGAAAACCTAGACGTTTCCATCTCCATAAGCCACGCAGGGCCTCATCCAGCAGGGTTTATATGACCTTACGCAGATTCTTGCGGTTTGTATGGGAATATCCGAGTCGAACCACCTACACAAGAACAACCTTGACGATGCTGCTGCTGTGTCGAGCACATCTTTCCCACAGCATCCATAAATTTGCATGTCCAACTCCTCAAATCTAGCACTGGCGCTATATGGTGGGATAAGCTGAATACCCTCGAAGAGTGAGTCGATTTCAGTCGTATTTCCGCTCCGCGTTGCAATATCAGTCCTGGTGGGCATAATCCCGTCCTTTCTTTTGTACCATGGCCCGCATTTTCGTCTTTTCATTTACGTGGATCTACTCCATATCTTTTCTTTCTTTTGGATACATCTCTCCTTTCTTTTGTTTGCTGAACACCCAAGACACACATACAACTGCACTACAGATAGTAGATTTATGGGTTAAGTTGCAAATTTATCATGAAAAATTTTATCCAGGTGCTTTGGGCATCTGGAAGGCTTTTTTAGAGCAAATTTACTCCAAAAGCTTAAGATTGTAGTAATATTATCTCTTACGATCAAAAAATTAATGTTGACAGTTAAGATAATAACGTTGATCATTAACATTTTTAATGGTACAAGATAATATTGTTACGATTTTAAGCTTCTTGGCTTATGATAACCTATGTCAGCATTCGAAACATCTTTTTCAAAAGATATATTCAATTCCCGATTTATTTTTCAATCAAGTTAAATTCCCACAATTTAAAGGATAAATTGAGACTGAAGAAGGAAAGCAAACCCGGGGGGCCCCGGGGAGCTGACGCTTAATTGGCATTTCTGTTATACTGTACCGTCTGTCGCTAATTTCACTTGGCGAAGTATAAAATTCAATATTTGGCTTCTGTTTGTTATTTCTACAGAGTTCGGCCTCTATGATTCACAGTGGGTAAAAGTAAACCCATTATACAGTAGAATTAGCGTCGGCAATTGGAAGTCGTAATTACAAATACCTCAAGAGTTAGAAAACAGGTTTTCAAAGTATTAAGTCTACTTAATTTCAAGCTTGCAGGATAAAAAGATACAACATTAAGTACGTAAGTGCGTTGATTAATAATTGGACCAAAGTATCCACACAGTATATATCGTAGAACGAAGCCCAAAACATTTATCTATATATTGGACGGAAGCTGTTAATTTCGCAGTGAATTTCCATTTATTGGAGACCTACGTACATGTGATGGTAAGGGCTTCTGATATATATCGTGGCGTCTGATATTACTCCTCCGGTCCTAATTATAAGACCCAATTGACTTATTTGAGAAGATTAAGGAAGTAAGTTAAGTTGGTTATTTATAATAAATAAGTGTTGTCATTCCTAAAATATCCTTACTAATTAAGTATATTGGCTAAAACTATCATTATTAGAAGGATTATCTTGGAAAAAAATGCATAAATATAATAGACAAAATGGATTGGGTCTTATAATTAGGACCAAAAAAAGTCAAATTGGGTCTTATAATAAGGACCGGAGGAGTATTTAACACGAAAATTAATTGGTGGCATAAAATATTAATTTAAAACATATTTTGACTCGATCGCGGTCGATGATCCTCAATAGGGGACGTATGAGAGAATGGATTATATACATGGAAAGTAAAGTGAAATCTCTGGGGTCAGGAATGTGTGGACTTACAAACCAGCTTTGATTTGCATTAATAAGCGATAAACTAATGGTATATGTAGAATCCTGGTCTAATAAAGTAAAAGACAGATGCATGAACGCGTAACTTCATTGCTTTCCATAAAAATTTCCTGTATATATAAAAAATATTTAATGTGGTTGAGAGCCAGTGATGAAGACATGGAATCAACAAGGGGTTGGCCACTGAGAATATATAACATATAATTAAGAAATGATTGCGGCCCAAGAAGTCCCAAAGTGAGGGCACATATCTTTTGCAGATTGCAGTACTGTGCTCGTGTGGGGATGGAAACTATATGCTTTTTGACCCCCTCACTGTACAATATAATGGCATGCATTTCTATATTCATAAATATGTGCATGCAAATCAATTAACTAGCTTGGTCCCGCACACTTGCTCCCCTTCTCCTTTATTTTTCTGATTGGTATATCTCATGCACGTGCATAGCCTTTGCCAATGCTCTCTCTCTCTCTCTCTCTCTGTGAATGTGAGACACACTCACAGGCCTGACAGACCCAGAGAGGACAAGTGAAAGCAGAGTTAAGGCTGCAATTGTGGTGCCTTTACAACTATAATTTCGCGAAATTAAGTAATAAGCTTTTCTCCCATAAAAATTAGCAGAACAAAGACATCAGATATCAACATCGCCGAGCAACCAACCCTTATCTCCTCGTCCAATCTTCCACCATTAACTCATGAATATTATAGTCCCAGTCTGAAATTCACATCATTTCACTTTCCCCAAACTCATTTCACTAGCTAGTGCAAAGTAACAGTAACATACTAAAGCAATGCGTAATTAACTCTTATCTCCTCCAATCTTCTCACGAACGCCAAATCCAGAATTAATGGCTATCTCTACGCTGTTGACTTGGATCGAATACTGTCCCAAGTTCAAAACAGTAAGTTTAGTGGGTGTTGCAGCAGCTCACCCTCCATCAGTTTCTGCGTATTTCCTTGATTTTTTTTTTTTTTCACTTGTACTTAAAGGAGATGACGATCTTGAGGGGGGGGTGTGTGTGTGTGGCGTGCGTGTTTTGGTCGAAGGTCGTGAGAATTGTGTTTGCTTTGCTTTTCGAAAGCAATTGTGGGAAGAGTGGGCACTCTTGATGAATGTTCAATTATTTAGAGAGGGATTGGATATGGACGGTCAACATGTCGTTTTCAATATATTTATATTTCCTCGATGGATTAAGAGATTGTTTTGCCATAAAAGTGATAATGAAGTTCGTCTTTACTAAAGAGAGACAATTTGAATGCTTTACGTCTGCTTGACATTTCAAATTATTGGAGGATATAATTGACAGCGGACGACGATGGTTCCATTTGGCTACAAGACTCTTATATATGAATTAAATCAATTAATCCTATCACAGAACTTTTGTCATACACGGGTGTGTGGCTTCAACTTTATTAGATATAGAAGCTTCATATCGAAATTCGCCATCTCCCTAAGTATACATATAACCTGCTAGAGTTACTGAGCATGAGAAGGTCGGCATATAATGCATATATATCGAACATGACATCTGCGAAGAAGAGTTAACTTTCACTGACATCTTGTCAAGTGATTGACTAACTAAGAACAAGAAAATATTCTATCTATCGTTATCTCACTTGTGCCATGGTGCCAATGATAAAAGGTGGCAAAATTATATACACTGGCATATGCGTAAATCGTTTTCAAATCAATTTTTTTTGATGATTTAGCGTTCTACCTCTCGTAAATTGAAAATTAGTAAGATCCGTTCTGTGAACTGTTTCTTCCCTTCAGGAAACTATACAAGTGTATGCTCTAATTTCATGAGCTCGCCCGGTCTACTTTCTTTTCTTATCTTTTAAACTTACTATAATAAGAAAGCAGCAGATTAATAATTAGGACGAATTTTCTTTGACTGATGAGGATTGATTCCCTTTCATACGGCTAGAAAGAAGCAAGAAAGAAAAAAATTAAGAAAGGATCTTGGAAGCTTCACCTGTGCCCTACATGCTAAGTTCTTGGTCCTTCCCAGGCTGCGAATCCAATCATCATCATCATCATGACACACACACACAAACAAACTAATAATCGCTCGCGCCATCACAAAAATTAGGAATTGAAAGAGTAGTGATGTATACGGTATACCTATAAATTTAGGTTTACCCAAAAAAAATGTTAATTATAATGTAATAATTGGAGAGTACAAAACTATATTTTAGAAATTATTTTGAAGAGAAGATGGGGATATGATTTGGAACGAAATATAGCATAAGAATTTTGAGACGATCAATTATATGATAGTATAGAGCATATAAAACTATTAGTTAAACTAATAACGATAGGGGATCGGAGGGGAGGAGGCCAAAGATGAAGAAAGGATGATTCTATGATTAGCGGGGGCCTTTTTTCTCTTGAGGGGGGGGGGTGTTGGGTGTTTGGAATGGGGGACCCACCAAGGGATGGGATGCCCGACCTCTGGCATCTCCTGAGTCCTGACTTGGTCACTGATTGATGTTTAGTGCATTGCACATCACATTGTGCGACTTTAGTCCTTTACCTTTACTTCCATCTCCCATCTTTAATTTCATCGTCCCCCACTCACTCCCAATTCACTTAACTTCTTCGGATTTATCCGTATCATTTACGCACAACAAACAATATAAATAAATGCTAACTTCGGTCCTTAATATAGAATTTGTTTGATATTTATTTTGATCCTAAATATAAAACCCCAATCCACTTTATTTCTCATATTATTCATTTTTTTCAAGATAGTCATTCTAGTAATATTAGTTCTAGCTAATAAAATTGATTATCAAGGATATTTTAGGAAAGACAATATCTATTTATTACAAATAACTAAACTTAACTTACTTCCTTAATCCATTCAAATTAATCAACTAGCTCTTATATACATTACAAGACATTGCTTTTTCCCCGAGTCTTTAATTTATTTTTAAAAGTTTTTTCTTTTAATTTTTAGCAATTTTCCTGCGTAATTAACCTTTTCTATGTTTCAATGTTATTCAACACAATTTCCTGTTATGCGAATAAAAATAATATTTAACTAAACAAATCATGGTTGTTGCGGACTACTTTTTGTTTTTTTATTTATTTTACCTTTAAAAAAATGGGAGAGAAAAGTTGTGGCATGGGGACCTCAACGTCAATGGCGACCTATCAACCTACATACAGCACTTGAATATAATGGCCCTACTTATTTTGTCTTCTCCATCTGCCTGATTTACTATTACAAATTCACTACTCGTCAACAATTTGCATCCATATATATATATATATATATATAAATAATTTTGTAAATGCGTAGTTTTATATATATATCTTCATATCTTTAATATAAAAATATTTAATTAATTTGATTAGATTAAGAAAGTTAGGTAAATTAGTTAATTATAAGAAATATAATATACTTTTTCTAAAACACCATAATCATCTTCTTTACTATTTCTCTTCCTCTTTTATTTGATTATGGTTGAAAAAGTATCTATAGGAGTAATTTAAAAAAATTGATAAATATGAGAAATAAATCTTATATTTAGAACCAAATTAAGTCAATAATTTTTAATTCTTATATTAAGGACCGAGAAGTAGTTTTTATCTACACAAAGGGTATAACAAGCAACTTTAAAAAACAACTAATGTAAAGGACGTCGGACTTAGCTATATATGTATATAGCTCACAAATTAACGACTGCATCGATCTCATCGCTTGCTCAACACAAGAGAGCTACACACACGCACACACAGCTCACGTACGCCCCCTTTACTTCTAGTTGTTATTAGTTGATTAGATTTCCTTAACATTTAACATATTTCCCCCGCGTTACCAAATAAAAGATGAACACAGACAAGACCCCCTTCGTCCAGCATAACCGGTAATTAGTGAACATGAACGTACAAAGAGATGGAGTTAATAATCAGCCAGATATTAAAATTACCGTAATTTATTTATTTAGTTCTTAAAGTATACGGAGCAGTTATTCGCTGAAGACTGTGTACGTAAGTGCTGAGTATTTTTAAGTTAGTATGCAACATATATCATGCATGCACGTAAATTTACAAAAATTAGTACAGCCTATGGCCACATTATGTGTGAGAATATAATGTATAAAGATTTCTTAAAGCCGAAGAAACGTTGAAATGAATGATGATTTGCACTTCACTGCCTGAAGGGTTTCTCAGTTCGGGTGTGACCCCTACCCACTTACAAAAAGAATGGATTGTTTTTTACAAAAACAAATAATCTCTCCCACTTCGTTAATTAAAAAAAGGGAGGTCTAGGTCCACAGGAAAAAGAGCAAAGCACGAGTCGACAAAAGGGACGCGTTAATCTAATAGGCGTTCTCAACTTGAAGCATCGATTAATTAAAGTTGAGAGGAAGCTATTGTAAGATTATGGCGTACCTACTTGCATATATCAAAAGATATTCATCATAGAATTGGATCAACTGAGCATCTCAGTGCTCTGCTTAACACTTAAATTTATTGGTGCTGACTGCTGACTACACAATAAAAATGGGAAAGCAATGGGCAACTAACGCCAATTTGATGGATAAATTTAACAGATTTTGTGTTACCATTTTCAATAATATAATTGTTGATTAACTTTCTTCCTTCTTTAATTATTCCATTTGTCGCATTCCCTGATTTGTTTCGTGCATGATTCTCTATTCTTAAAAGGATTCTCTTTATTTATATATTTATGTATTCACTCATATTTTAGTCATATCTTTTTATGTTGTCCAGAAACGCATTTAAATATAAATATAAATTATTAATCTAAATACATAAAAGTTTTGGATGAAAAGTAAAAAATTTTGATGTTGATGTATAAACTGTCACTTTATAAGAAAATAAAGTTATTATTCGGCAATTATAAATTAAAAAGTTTTAAATCTAGATCATCCTAATTTAATTTGGAAAATTTTAATCACAGCGATAAGCACCAAAATTCAACTATTCGTTCAGCGATATATCCTGAATTAGCTGGCCTGGCCATTAATCTATGATCGCATAGTTTACGCCATGTGTCAAGGATCAAGGGATTATGAATGGGGGACGTTTTTCCGCGTAAATTTTTCGAGAACTGGTGACACATAATTTAATTTTGTTGTCCCGACATTAACCATAACCAAAAAATATACGTCACTTCCTTCCAACTTAATTTTCATTGTCACATAATTAATAATAGACCTGCGAGAATGTCAGTAGGGTCCCGTTCCATTGAGGATCGATCAAATTCTTTGATTACGTGAGCCGATTCCACCATGGGCCATCGATTTGACAGCAACCTTATCACTACGGAATTCTGTTGTTTGAATACAAATATAAAATACGGAGTATAAAAAAAAAATCTAACTATTTACCTTATTATAATTCACAAATAATGTATTTTTTCCATTGCTGGATGCATGGGATTTATACTAGCTATAGCGAGTAACGTTAACTTCAAAAATTGTTGTACTCTTGAAAACAACTGATTAGCTAGCCAGTCTCTTCTTGCTGGTACGGGGAAAAACCCTTTTTAATTGGCGTCTGTCTTCCATGCATGGGAGCCACTCTACTTTCTTTATTAATGGCCAAATTTACAGACCAAGGCCGCAGAAAAGAAGCTTATGGGTTAAGAAACTTCGTCCCACTAAAAACCCTAAAAATATAATAAAACAAAAAGAGAGATGAACGAAATGAGGGAATAAGAGCAAAGCAAAAACAAAAGCCTCTTCTTGCTTTCTTTCCTCTTCCTCCTTCCCTCCCTCCCTCTCTCTTTAATGATCCCTTTTCCCCTCTTTCTTTCTCGGCTCTGGTATTCTTCCTTAGTGTGATTCTCCACCATCTCTAAAGACCCATCCAACTTTACAAAAGAAAATAACAAAAAAAGATAACCAACACCATGGTTTTCTCTTCTATTCCAGTCTATTTAGATCCTCCCAATTGGCAGCAGGTAAGGTTTTCCCCCCAATTTCAGCCACGGCATAAACAAAGATTATTATTCCTATCTCTGTATTAATATCTCTTGAATATACCTGATTTCTGTGTTTACATTTATATATAGTCCTACTTCCTACCTCAACTGGGATTATATGTTGTGTTTTGCAGCAACAAATATCATCAAACAAATGAGATCAGTGAGCCTCCGCTTGCCTCCACAAGCACCTCATATGGTCTCAATCAGGCCTGGATCGATGGCGGATCGAGCCCGGCTTGCAAAGATACCACCGCCGGAGGCAGCTCTAAAGTGTCCTCGCTGTGAATCTACCAACACGAAATTCTGCTACTTCAACAACTACAGCCTGTCTCAACCCAGGCACTTCTGCAAGACCTGTAGGCGTTACTGGACAAGAGGAGGCGCTCTCAGGAACGTTCCGGTTGGCGGAGGATGCCGCAGAAACAAGAAGACCAAGAAGAAGCCGCTCCAAGTCTCCGGCAGCCTCCGACAAACAGCCACCGTCTAACCCCTCATCAGGCGGGGCCGCCATAGCCACCGAGCTGATTGGTCATATGCCGTCCCAAGCATCTAATTTACCATTCATGGCGTCCTTACAGAATCTGAGTCGCTATGGCGTGGGAAGCATGGGCCTCAACTTGCAAGGACAGAGTGATCACATGTTCCCATGGGACTTAATGGAAGTGATATTTCGAGCGGAGGACTGGATCAGTGGCGGTTAAAGCAGTTTTACTTTCTTGAATGGTTTTGATCAGTCAAGTTCAGCTGCTTCTGCTTCAAACCCATTCAAAGCGAACTTGGGGTCAAGAACTTGGGTCAGGGTTACGCAGCTGCCGCCAGTTAATGGAAGACAATGGAGCGCTAAATTTGTCCAGGTCGCAAGCTCGGAGTATATCAGAAAATAACAACCAATACTACTCATGGACTCCAACCACAGATATTATATCAGGCCTTGCCTCTTCTTCCACGACCCATGTGTTGTAATTTCCAAATCAATTAATTGTTATTGCACCACCATCTGTAGTGCATCGGAGAAATTCAAGTTCCCGGATGGTGTAGATGCTCAGCCCAACTTCCCCAGGCTAGTCCCAGATATGGTCAGAATTCGATACATAGATATATATATATATATATATACACACAGCCATATATAGACATATGGACGTATTGTTGTCTTGTTGTTATTGGATGTTTTGATATCGTGTTTCTTGTGTACTATATGAGCTTGCTTTGTATAATTGTGTGTGCATGTACGATGCGTTATGTTTTCTGTATGCTATCTGGCGTCATGACCTCATCTCAATACAAAATCTTCGGAGGGAGGTTACGTAGCTAAAACGGTGCCCGTTTCTAGACGGTTACGACTAGCCCCCACACTGCTTCTCAAAGTTTCTTTCATGGATGCCACGTTCATCGGTAAAGAATGCAAAACTGACACTAAAGAACGTGCCTCCTCCTTTGCTTCGTCCCAGGCAGTGTATCTCGGGATGGTAGCTTGGGACTTCAAGATTTAGTAGTTTTAATTGTCTAGTTAATGTTTACATCTTGCAGCTCGATCCTATGCAAGTTCACATAAATATAATATCTGCCGCGAAAATACTCCTCAGCAAAGCCCTGTGCATAATGGTCTGGAGTTTTAGATAATATGCTGGTACTTATATATAATCAAACGTCCAACACAAGTTGAAAGTGTAAAGTAATTAATAGACTCTCCATATTTCATGAAGGTGGCCGGACTTCTACGGACCTTGAGTTGCAAGAGTCGTATAATGCCCCGCGCCCTTAATTAATTATCTCCGTAATTATGGCAAAATTTGAATGGCAGCTCGTACGTAGTGTTCGACTTCTAGAGTGCTAATAATTGAATCAGATTTTTTTTTTTTACATCTTTGTAATAGACTTGTAATTGGGCAATATTACAGAGTTTGAGAAGCTTTTTAATTATTAATTTTTAATATTCACAATGTATAATATTTAATAAGTATACGGACGAATTATTGCAAAAAAAAAATCTAAGAAAGAATAAAGGCTTTAATTCCCGCGATCAGATTAATTAATCCCTTTCTGGTTTATCCTTCACCCGCCAGAAATAAAACCTAGAAGGACGTGGGCGGGTCAAGAGTCGAGCAAAGGAAAGAGAGAGGATGTCAAAAATGGTGTGTTATTTATAAGCCAAGAGTTGAAGTTAATTGCAACGATATGTGAGGTTAGATTTCATGTGAGAGCCATGGGACGTACTTATTTGTTTGATTTGAGGTTGAGAGTAGACGAGATCAGACATTCAGATGGGAGCATTTGAGAAGACGCCAAAATCCACACTCAAAACCATGCAATTCCATACCCGACCAAGCCTAAGAGGGTGATCATTCTAGAACATCCTAGGCACGATGGAGCAAGATACAAACGACATGAATTAACGCATCATTGTAGTATATATTATGCCCTGAGATCTCAAAAGAAGAGAAAAAGATTCTACGGTCAAAGGAAGTTCGCGACCTTATGAACTCGCCCTCTCCTACCCACTCTCCTCCTTTGGAGCGATCAACTATCTCTATCTCGCACACTTCAAATTATATACGGACTCAATTGGTTATGGGATTGCTTTTCAACTCTTAAAAGTATTTTTAAAAAACATTTTTCTACAAAACGAAATAAATTTCTATATATATTATTTTATAAACTGTAAAAACACTTTTAAAATTATAATTTGATTTCTATCTAAACACTCATAATATATTCTAATTAATCCTACCGGAAACAACGAATAATTTAACCAAGAAATAAAAATAAAACACATCAGGAAAAGGCACAGCATGCAAGAGAGATTACTTTTGCAGGGACCGATACAGCTTTCAAGAACGAATAAAGCAACAAAACCAGTAGAGACCAATGCAGATAAAGCCCTCCCTGTGTCCGTCTGTCGTGACCCTGTCTAACAGGGACGTAGGTGTCCAACGTGGCATCCTGTGATCCAAAAATGTCGGTGTCAGTGCCCCCCGGGGAAAAACTATTTCTGTAAAAATAAATAAATAAATATTATTATCGTTATAAATTACTTTAAAATTTATAACAATTAAGTTCTGTCTGTATAGCTCTAATGACCATAAAATATGAGCCTCGTGAGTTGTGAGAAATTTAAAAAATAAAATGCAGTATAATAGGTTTATTGAAAATTTTAAAATATGACGAGAAAGACGGAAATTTTAGATGAAAACCCAGAGGAGAGGGTGTGTCGGTAAAATTCCGGAGGATGGCAGGGTCAGGGACGGGGGGAATCAAAAGAGGCACAGAAATTGATGCGGAGCCGTGGACGTGTACGTGGCGAAACCTGCGCCGTTGGATGGGTAAGGGATGCAAAAGCAAAAGGTGCCTCACTGCCCTGCATCGTCTTTCTTTCTCTTCCGATTCCCCGTTGGTTCTCTGCCACTTTCTCATTCTTTTTCTCCTTCGTCTTCTTCTACTTAAGTTGTGGCCTTTGCCCTCTCTGCTTTTTCTTTTCTGTAGATGCGCGGGACCCGTCCCCCACATCAATGGCGTCCCACGCCACGACGCAACTATTTATTTACGTACGCACACTGAGTCCTCTTTATCGTCCTCATAATTGGTAACGTAACACTCATTACTGAAGATATGAAAGGGGACATTCGCAATCATTTTACACTCTAGATTATAATACTAGAGTGCCTCAATATGACAGGTTCTTACAAGTACTTCTGGTTGGGTGTTACCATGTAGTAATATGAATTGCACCTCAGTTTATTAGAGATTTGTTGGGACTTATTACCCGTGATGTCAGCTCAAGATGGCCATGTTATGGCATATATTATGCATAGCGCCTCATTTTTTCGTCCAAATGTCAAATAGGTCTATGTCGACCTCCCCTAACGATCAAGGGACCAGATTGATGAGCTTAAGTTCATAGTTTGGATTTGATGTCATGCATTTATCTTAGCGTTCTGTGGCAATCTCAACCTGCGAA